CCTGCTTCTTACCCGCATCAACAACACCACCCGGAACTCATCCACAACCCTCTACCGTTCCCTCAAGCAGGTATGATAAAGACAATCGCATGCATCGCGACGCACCCACTACGCGGTAAAGACGGATCTTTCAGCCCTTGGCGTCGCTGGCTCTGGCGACGCGCTGGCCCGAGCATACTAAGAAGCCACATATTGCCATCAAACATACCGAATGTGGCCTTCAACTTCAGCATTGACATCAGGGGCGATGGAGCATTTCAACGGCTGTAAACCTGCCTCAGAAACATGCCACGGCGCGCGCGCGGAACACGTGTGCAGCGCAACACGCTAGAGTAAAGCGTGCGGAGAACCTAAGTTCGGTAAGCGGGGGTGTACACATGTACCTTGCCAAGGTGCTTCAGCGTCGGAAAAGCAACCTCCAGACAGCCATGCAATTGATGTCAATCACCAGGATGAACACGTTCTGATGTCCCCCGAATCTGCTTCACCCACTCAGTCGGAGTTAGTTGCTCGAAAGAGCATCACGCGTCGCCGGACTGGCTGCATCCCGTGTCGAGATCGCCATATACGCTGCGACGAACACCAGCCGTTGTGCCGGAAATGCGAGAGGGCATCCCTCGAATGCTTCTGGAACAGGAACGTTCGCATCGTGTTCCATGACCCCAGCATTCACGCGAAACGGCGTAAATCCAACACATCCAAAAGCCCAGCCTCTAATCATGAAGCAATCACGTGGCCTAGCACCTCTACGACGTCTTTGACAAGCCCTGGTCTCGAGGATGTGCGTCCGATCGAGTCAGGAACCGAACCTGAGCTGGAATATTTCACGAGTTGGGCATCTCTGGCCGCCTCCGAACTCATTCAAGATGCATTTCGTACGGACATAGAAATGAGACTCATGCACAACTATCTGACAGAGGTCGCTCCTTGGTTCGATGCTCATACCGGCCAACAGTTCTATTCTCGGACGGAGGTGCCACGCATGCTGCAGTGTCCTCCTTGGCGGGCAGCGGCATTGGCAATCTCTGCCAAAAACATAGAGCTACGGGAGAAACGCTCAATTATGCCGGACTTGGAGTCTCTGCCATTGCACCTCTACCAGCTTGCTGTTAGACTTGCCATCGATGCTATGTCTGGCCGTTTCGAAACTGTCGGAGCTCTGGCCGGTTGTGTGCTACTCTGTGTCTACGAAATGATGACAGTGACATACACGGATTGGAGGAGGCATGTGCAGGGTTGCACAAGCATTTACACGCACAACAGCTGGAATGGCTCAAGCGGCGGACTGATTAGCGGAAGTTTCTGGGACTACGCTAGAATTGGTACAGTATGCTAGCATCGTGGTTGCCATTAAGCTAATTCATAGCTTCAGATATCTGGGCCGCCTTCTCTGCCGGAACTCGAACTATGATGGCAACAGAGAACTGGTTCGACGACCCGATGTCGATAATGCAACAGACAAACATGGATGAAGACCTTCATTCGCAGGTGGCAATCTGGCTTACAGCTAGAGTCGTTAATATTGTGTCTACGGAGACACCCCCTGTCTTAGATGAAGAATTGTTTCAACTGCGGTCAGCCATGGAAAGTTGGCCTCAACTAGGAGGCTCGTCAACTAGACCAGTGCTTTCTCGAGAGGCCGATGGCATGGCAGACTATCCCTTTCCGCGAATCCTGTTCTCTACACACAGTTCAAGTAAGTCAAATCATCTGAGCGCTTCTTGACAAAGACTAACTGGTAAGTCATTGGACATACCATGTGGAACAGCGCAATGGTTTTGTTGTTCGAGTATGAGGCAGCACGTCGCCACCAAGAAGCACCTGCGCTTCAAGAAGAAGCGTACCGTCACGCTCTAGACGCTGCTGGAATCATTGAAACCAATAATCACACGTGAGTATCAGGCCCAGGTCGACCGAGCCGAACCGTCGCTCATGATTGCCAGCGCATGTTTGGTCAACTCTTTGCAGCCAGCATTTATCTGCGGGAGACAAATGCGGACCAAAGGCGAGAAGTTCGCGATCCTGGAGCTGCTCGCTCAAATCGAAAGGAAGACAGGCTGGAGGTGCGGGTGGCGATCAGATGGTCTCCGGGAGTTCTGGAACCTATGCTAAGACCTGAATCTCCCTGATGTCGATATATATCGCGACTGTCAACAATTTTGCGTCCGATGCCTATGATCTCGACCTCGTTCGTTGTTCGCAATGCACCGCTCCGCCCTTCCATATAAGGCAACTGGAAACGTGACAAGGGATGCATGCGGAGATCCAAGATTCAGCCTCGCATAGGAACATATAATATGCCAACTCGCGCAAAGAGCACCTCTTACTGACGATCCCAAAAAGCTGATTCTAGTCCAGGCCCTACCAAGACCTCTCCCTCACGATCCCAGAAAGCCGATCCCAGTCCAAGCGTTTGATTACCTCCGCGGCCGATGTCACCACGGAGGAAGAGAAGAAAGTGTAGCACGCTCTCAATAGCTGTCTGCATCGAGGTGCTTCGCACCAAGAGTCCCACGTGGACGTTTCGCCTCATGGGCTTGCCAAAAGAGTCGAGATTGATTGCGTATGAGGAGTTGCTGGATTTCCAGGGCCTGCCGCACCAGAATTTTTTGGTCCGGAATACTTGCCACCTGTCGCACGATTCAGGAAGAAGCACAGAATACCTTCGATACGAAGCTCCTTAATTAATTGCGCTTGTCAGATTCCGCGACCAACATGTCGGGTTCGGCGCCTCTGTGGCCAGCGATATGGGGATCTTCCACTCGAGATGGACACAAAAGGTGTCCGCGTCTGCTCAGGCCTTTGAAACTGATCATAGACATCCATGACGGCGGAGACTATGTGGAAACCCCCAGTTTCAAGCTCTGCATGCTGATACCCGGCTGTGCAAGTCCTCCATCAAAAGTGTTCAGATCCGATACAGCAGAGCAATAGTGAAAGAGCCGGAGAGCAAGTTTGAGCCGTGGCAGGACACGCTGTGGCCGCTAACGCGAGCTGGAGAAGATGCTCAGATCACGGTCCACGGAGCCCAACCGAAAGATATGAGATTTCTTGACGGCAAGTCGGCATTGAAGCAAGATAACGAGTGACTACATCACATGCTCGATCAAGGATCCATCACGTCCAGGAGTTCACTCCATCTAGTAGCAAACACCGCTAACCGCACTCCCGTACTGCGATCCCTGACGCGAGCAAGCAGCTGCGAAACCATTCTGCTCAAGACCACGTTGGTTCGCATCGTAGCACTAGGTGAAGACTTGTCAGCAAGACTGCAAATGATACTCCAATCTAAGAAAGTACTCACCGACTGCGTGGCACTGTTGAACTGCAAGTTGGGATAATGCATATTCAGGTCGTTGCAAGCGCTTGAAGAGAGCGTCCCAGGTACCGGCTGGCCATACAGCGTGCACTGGCATTGAGACCGGTACGGACCATTCTGATCGCCATCCGCTGGTTGTGGGAATTGTGGGAATTGTGGGAATTGTGGTTGTGGTTGTGGTCGTGGTCGTGGTCGTGGTACTGGTGGGCCTGGTGGTGGGTTTGGATCTGGACAGTATTCATTTGTATTACTGAAGCAAATAGAAAGGCCAGAATCAGCAGTGGATTGCTTTCCCTGATCAGCTTGTTCCGCGGGCAAGGCAACGGCGTTACTATGAGCAGTCAGCACCAAGCAACTTGGCCTTGGATCACACTTGGCAGACATACGCTGCCGCGAACAGAGCGAGAGTGGTAGCGATGTACTGCATCTCGACTGCGATGATCAGGGCCAATGTTTCCGAATTTCGGGTTGCTGGAGAGCGGATTGTCTCGTCGAAGAGAGAGCTGTTGATTCAATGAGGGTTGGGTTGCTGCTGCTGCTGCTGCTGCTACTCCTGTCGAGGAGCACGATGAGTTGCAAATGGCGACGACTTTGACGCCGGAGTCTGATGGATACCTTTGACCACGAGGGACACGGAGTGTACTTGAGACAGCTCGGAGGACCCAGGGAGTACGTATCTCCTCATTCGATGACCATGTTAGGCTTCGACCTGAGAGATTAAACCATCATCCGACTGCGAGGAGACGACGGTCTGATAGGTCGGCAAATTCAGGCGCCCTCAATATGGTCATGCAAACCTTGTAACAAGTGTCGCTCCTTATGCATTGAGTTTACGAGGGCAAATTTAGCAGATAGCTTGACTTGGAGGCACTGCAGGGCGTCAGGAAGCAAGCTGGCCGGCCGCAACGATCAAGAGGGCAAACAGCTGCCCAACACCACCACAGACTCGGGCTTGGCTCCAGGGATAGCTCCTCAAGCCCACGTTCAGGAGGTCGCCGGATCGCTCAACCCCAAGATCAAGTGTCCTCATTGGGACAATGTTCACGTCTTACAGCGTCTATTCCATGGAAATATTACTCATGGAAAGCGTTCGTCCGGACGACTTCTGCGGGACTTTTCTCCTCGGACTCATTGGGTGCCATCGTCAGAAGATGCGTGTGATCACGGTGAAGGCCCTATACAAGAAGATTTGCAATCTCGACATTGCATCCCTCGCCCATCACAACGCACTCTGCCACTGCTGAATACCTCATCACATCATGTCCAGATCACATATGCATTCGAACGGAGATACCATCACTTCGCAATCGACTTGTGCAAGCCGAGCAGGTCCGAATTTCGCAGACAGAAGTTCGAATGAGTAAACCGAAGAACCGAATCTCGGGACTGAATGCGATCATAGGACACCAGAGCATCGCAATCCAGAAGAGACACGAAACGATTGCGGGTCTTCACATGGGCCTCGAGGAGGAGGAGGAGGAGGAGGAGAAGGAGTGGGCTGTTGATCGGACTAGGCTATTTTAGCGCGACGGGGTAATCCGATCAATTGTTGATGTACCACGTCCCAAAATAGTAAGGTATTGGTTGGCGGGGAAAGTGTGGAGGTCTAGCTCTGATATATAGTATGGTCCATGAAATGGTACGACTACTTTCGAGATTTAGGGTTTACGCCTTGCCCTGCTAGCGGTATAGCCTACCAGGAAGACGGAGGTATGAGTGACTGTCAAATTCCACGGAATCATGGACACCCTAGACAAGGGAGGGAGCAATAGCTCATCATGCGTCTCCTTCTCAGTATCTCACCGAGTAAAGCATAGCAGCGCTAGAGTAGCATCTCTATGCGGTCGCCGACACAGTCGTCGCAACATTTCCATTGGTTTGACCCTTCTTGTCTTGGAGCTCGGTTTGCTTTGCTCTGAGCGCACTGAAGTTCCTCTCCATCGCCGCCTTTGTGAACTCCGCGCCAGTCACCTTGGGATACTTCTTCAGCGGGCCTTGAATCTCACAGTCCACGCAGGGTTGGTTGAAGAACGCAATCGAATATCTCGGGCCAAAGTAATCCGTTTCCGGATCTGTGGGTGCTTTGACTCGGTGGAAGGTAGATTTGAATCGATCATCCGACCAGCTCATCAGAAGGTCTCCAATGTTGCAGACAATGTCTCCTGGTGCAAAGTCGACTCTGGTCCAGTTGTCGCCCATACCGAACGATGTGACGACTTCGCGACCGGGGCAGATTTCGAGACCGGATTGGCCGGGTCTTTGGAAGAGAAGTGTTATCAGATCCCAGTCTGCATGCGCACCGGCTCGGTAGAAGTTCTCGGGCAGCGGTTGGGATTTGTCCACTTCGAAGTAATGCAGCATTCGGAGGACGGACTGGCAGTCGGGCCGGGTGATGTCGTGGGCTTTGACGAAGTAATCGTCAGGGAAGTCAAGACCTCTAGCGAAGCAGAGCATGAGCTTCTCGCTAAGACTTTGAGCTTTCTTCATGAATGTCTGAGCGCTGGATTTGAAGCCTGGTAGAGCATCATCGGAAACCCACTTGTCCTTCATATTGTCGCCGAATTGGAGTTGGTAGCTTTCCTTCTGATCCGCAACTCCCGTGGAAGGTCTGATCTGGCCCTTCTTCTCCCATCCCACATTCTTGTGCGTAAAGGGCACTGTAGCCTTGACATCGTCAGGCAGAGCGAAGAATGATTCGGACGTCTCGAAGGTGGACTCGATTTCCGGGATGGTGATCTCAGTGTCCGTCAGAGAGAAGAAGCCGTCTGTCTCAGCAGCATGTACGAGTTGCGATGTAATCTCATCGATGCGGTTGTCGAAGTCCGCGAGGGAGATGCGTGGGATGCTGCGGTTTGTGTATTTCGTGGCGCCCATTGCAGTTTCGAAGTTCCAAAGGAATCAGCAGCGGGTTTCCTATACGATGCTACGATGCTACGATGCCTGCTGTGTTGACACACATATTGATGGAGCTCGCCTCGCTGATGATGGCGAAGCGCGAAGACAGCTACAACTGTGGAAGCTTGCCACGGTCAGCTCCGACAGGGAGGAAGATAAGCGTCCGGCCAAACCGGCGGCCGAGGAAATGCAGGTACAGGACTTATGCATCAGGGCAATAATAATGGGAACCCAGAGTAACTCGTCTTCTTATAGACGTTCCTTGCCCTTGTTCCAAGAAAGGGGGGGAGTTTTAAAGCCTTAGGCATGAGGCGGCTCGTGCGTCTTCGCAGTAAGTCTTTGTTCCTTCATAAAAGACCCGACTTCTAGATAGATCATCATACGACATACGAGTGCTTTGTACCATAATGCGCCTCTCGCGCGCGTATTGGACATGCTTCAGCCTAGCCAAGGCTTGCCAAGGAGGCCTCGTAACGTGGTAGGGCTCCGTTACCCATCGCGACGTCTTTGCATGGACCGCGTCCCGTATCTCATCGGTAGACGAGATAATAATGAGCTGCCGGTCAATGCAACATATTGCTGATGGAGTGACGTTGATAGAAAGTCTCGGCATCACATGCTGATGTGACACGTGGTAGCGGGTCCAGATCTACCGGAGTTCGGTAGAGGTGTAATAACGTAAGTCTCGCCAGCTCACAGTTTTGGATTTGCCATGTGATGTTGTAGCGCGTCTGCGGATCTCACAAGCAGGCAGGAAATGCAGCTAGAACAGCGAGAGCCTCGCAAGCTGTCTCCCCGGCTCCGAAACGTAAAGTATCGATCGCCGATCTTCCATCAGACTCGTTATGGACCAGGAGGTTGCGTAGCGAGTCTGAGGACAAGACGCGCTAGCTTAGTGTAGTTGCATAGTGATTTGGCCTAGTATGCTATACTGCAGGAAGAAGTTCGCACTTTCCTAGGATTAGTAACACTTAGCGGCTATTAAGTAGTAGGCTTTTCGTAAGCATCTCGTATAGATAGAATGTTTACATATCTAGACCTCGTATATAATCTATATCTTCGGACTTTTTCTATATATAAATCTCAAGACCAGATGCATTCTTTCAATACCGACAGCTAAGCCTCTATTATATAATCAAAGTACTAACTTTAACGTGTAGTAAGATATCCTAGCTAAGATGGTCGGTTTCCGGGTCTACTCTATGCAGCCTTACCAGGCAGGCGCGTTTTGTCCTCAGGCGCGCTGCAGAGACTTCTTCTACTACCCTATAACATGCCTAACCGAATATAGATAGCGTGAGTACGGAGGGAAGTCACAAAGCAGCGCGTCTGAGAAGGAGGTAGTCGATCGCGGCGCGAGTCCGCAGGGAAAGCAGAGGATAGTCAGATCCACTTCACTAGAGGACGCCAAGGCGTCGAGGCTGTCAAAGACCACATACAGAGACAGGTGGAAGTTCGAAGCTTTCTCTGTCTTCATTACGAGCCGTGCTGGGAAGTATGGCATCGTCGTCGTTCTGCTGCAATAGATCACCCCTACTTCCTGATGGCACAGCAGCTTCGGCGTGCGTAGCAGCCATCTCCTTGGGCAGATATTGGGAATCCACCTGCAGCCCCGGATGCGCTACTTCAACACCATCATCTGTAATCTTCATTGACACAGTCCCCGCCTTTCGAGGCTCGCTAGCACCAACGTCCGCTAGCTCGAGACTCTGAGTATAAGGGCCCGCGTGTACACAGAATTGGGGAAAGAACTTGGCCACGAACGCATTGTATGTCGGTAAACAGGCGGCGATAAGGATCCAGGAAGCCTCGATGCTGGAGTACAGCCCTACTTGTGCGTTGCGCCAGCTTTCGTCGTGGCTGCCCGTCATGGCGTATAAGACGTTTGATCGAATGATGGAGGCGATGCAGACACTGCCGCCCAGAGCGAGAACGGCAATAAGCATGTTCCGCTCTCGCTTTGGCAAACGGAGGCTTCTGATGACAGGTAGTGGGAGAACGGCGACGGCAATATCTGTGGCGATGCCGAACGAGAAGTGTGCATACCACAAAGGTAGCCTGGAAAGACAGCTTCCGATCTGGTCCTGGTTCCAGAAAAGTGAGATCGGCTTGCATATGAAGATTGTCGCGAATACAGTGTAGATGGTGAAGCAAGTGACTATGGCCGCAAGAGTCCAGGCGGCAATACGGAGCCAGCGGATCGATCCAAGGACCTCAAGGCATTGGAAGATCTTGACCGTCAGAGTCATCATATTAGCACGCAATGTCGTTGTCGCAAGGCTGTTTGGAAGTCGCACTTACAATAGAAACTTTTGCCAGCCAGAGACTGACGTGATATACCATTACTGAGATCCAGAGGGAGAGTAATGACTTCCGTTGTTCCGTCTCGGTAAGGTCAGCCTGATGCCGTCCAAGACCGTAGTAAGCTAGTGCGCCGTCAGTTGAGAGTTTCATCAACCATCGAAAGAACGCACTTAATAGCGCAACGCATGCTGTGAAGAGACATAGGAAGCCAAGAGCCAGTGTGGCGAGCAAGTCGTCCAATGCAGGTGCGCGCACAATTGCAAATCGGGTGTAAAGCCGCAGGGCTATCGCAAGGATGGCGATCACTGTGGAAGTGAAGACGACAGCGTATATTGCAGGTTGCGAGGCATGGCCACTGAACTTCATCTTGTGGCATGTCGTGCAACTAAGACTTACACGACACAGATCAGCTACATATGCTAGCCACGTCCAACGCGGTTGACAAGGGTCGTTGTTGCTGATCACGTGAAGAAAGGGTCGGAAACTGTATATCACTGCCCAAGGAGGCCAAGAGATCACATCACTGCCAAGAGCTAAGCCTCTTGGGCAGTGATATACAGTTTCCGTCGGTTTGCCAGATTGATGGCAGAAATGCGAAGGATTGCGGTAACATTGTAGGGTACAAGGGCTGCGAGTGTGTGTTGAGAACTGGTGTAACCTTTGCATCTGCCAACAACTTCATTGATATTCTGACACTGGGCCGCAGAAGTACTCGTGAACAAGAAGCACAAATTCATTTCTAGTGAAGTAGACCGCATTTGCAGTGCACTTTCGGGCGCAATGCGGCCTAGAGGTTGTCACACATACTCGGCGCCATGAGAGTCCAAGTTGGCTACCGGCGAAAGTCGGTACTATCGCAGCTCGGAGGCCATAGATATGGAACTTTCTTTCGTACATCAAGTCTCGTCGTCAGGTTTCCGCAAGAGGAGTCGGCAAGGCCTTTCCCGTGGAGCTATTGTACAGCGGGCTCGTAATCTCGTAATCGGTGCCAAGTGGACGTGGCAGAAGCTGGGAAGCCGAAGTAGCTCTGCTCGGCAGCAAGGCTGGACAAGTATTCTGCTATGAGCCTTGTCCCAGTAAGCTGGGCGCAGAGAATACGATCTTCGATATATATCTGTTTCAAAAATCTTTTGGTGTTGCCACCACATTTTATTGTTGGATGACGGGATAGTTGATAGGGGCCCCGAACCTGAACCGTGACCGAGTCTCAACTCACCCGGACAATGTTTCGAGAATACGCGGATATCTGCTGGCGTCGGCGGAAAAGGTCAATGTACCGGGGTGCGAACAGGCCGTACGAGCTACAAGGCCGGAAGTGCTCTCTAGGGCGACTGCCTGCCTACCTCTGCATGGACCAGTTGTGCCAGTCATTGAATAGACTTCCATGGATCTTCGACTTCGGATCTTTTCTCCACTCATCGCGTAGGCCGAGGTATTTCAGATCCACGACTCTCCGATAAGTTTCTGTCTTTCCAATCAAAACCTTTGCGAGAAAGAGTGCAGATCGGCTGCAGGCAGCTGCATGCAATTTCGATCCTCCAAGCTTCATTTCGCTGAAGATAGCGTTGAGCAACTCCGCGCAGGGCTTCTCACTGTCAAGCTGGGGAAGGCTCTTGTGTTTCTTGCAAGTGTCAAAGTATTGCTCAAGCACTTCCAATGCCTTCTTAGCTGTTGGCGGATTTGTAGTCGTGCGGGTCAGAGTTGCGAGCGGATGAACGAGGTCCATGGCGATCGGGTTAGCGTACTGGATTTTGACGTAAACAAACAACAGATCCAACACTCGATTCTTGAAGTTGACGATATTGTCTTTGGCATCTTTGTTGTCCTGCTTCTTGTTGGCGTCCTTCTTTCGCTCCTTGAATATGTTCGTCAGATGACCTTCCAGTGCCATCATCTGCTCGTCGTCCATGTCAGATCCGTCCTCGTCGACGTCTTCATCCATGCCTGTAGTGCCAAGCGCATCTGCTAGCTTGCGATCAAAAGCCGCTTCCTCGTCTTCGTCGGCTTCGGAAGACTCTTCGCCTTCTTCGCTGCTGGAAAGTTCTTCTTCATCTTCCTCACTGCCAATCTTGACGACATTGCCATTCAATATTTCAATATCAGACTCGTCTTCTACGTCGACAGCATCCTCCTCATCATCATCTGTCTCTTCCTCTTCCTCTTCTTCGCTGTCGCCGTCTGCATTCTCGTCTCCGTTCTGCGAGAAGAGCTCCTGCTGGCCAGCCAAGTTCTCCTTTTGCGACAGAATCTCTGTCATAGACTGCAAGCCTTCTGGAGTCACTTCGGATGCAAATGCGGTGAAGACTTGTCGAGCCAACGTTTGGAATAGCTTTGATGATTTGGCAACAAAGCTGAGTAGAAGCTCAACAAGCATCGTGGAAGCGTCCTCATTTCCAGCGGGCGTCTCATAACATGATACAATATCCTTAAGAACGCCAATTGCATCGTCTTCTTCCTCGTTGTATACTTGCAGCATGCCCAATGCGAGAAGAAGTTGGAAAGCAGTATTGACCGTCGCATCGCCACTGCCCGCTATCTGGGATCTCTTGGCAGCCTCCTTCAAGGCTTTGCGGGCTTCTCTCAAAGCTGCAGTCCGCTTTTCATCTAGCACACTCGCGAGAATCTTCTTCGATTCGTGAAGTGTTTCGAGAACTAGTGTTGGAGCCAAAATTGCCTGATTCAAGGATAGATCGACCAGGTGGCCAAGTGTTGAAGTCAGCCGTTCGCGAAAAACCTCTTGGCTTTTCTGTGACAACGGCGGCGAGTACTTCTCACTCGTAATCGTGTAAGCCAGGTGTGCGAAGCCTCGAATCAAAGCTTGTAGCCAGTCCACTAGTACGGTTTTATTGTTTACGTCGAAGAATTGATTCGGCTCACTTCGACGACTGCGAACCATTCCGAGCATGAAGTTTCCGATCATCTGCCGTTTTTGGTGTGCTTCGCCAGGGTCATTGCTGCCAGGCACCCGGCACAGACTAATCGCTGTTGCCACGATATCAGCAAGGCCGTCTACATCGGACGCAGACAGCATATTCTCAATCGTGGCTTTGGTAAACTTGTCAAGATTGCCAGGCATGATTGTGAATAGCTTGCAGATCATAATGGAGGCAGCTGCTGGATCGTGCTTCGCCCGGGTAGCCATCTGGCTGAGTGGGAGTTTCGCAGCCTCGTGAAGATAACGGTCAGGCTTTGCTCGATGATCAATAATGCACTGCATGATGCTCTTGTGCACGACGTCTCCGAGCACGGACACTGGCGCAGTTGCAATCGTCGTGGCAAACACCTGCAGTCCGAGACTTCTTCTCTCGGTCGAAGAAGAAACGGAGAACATGGGCTTCGCCACGCAGTCTTCCCAGAATGAATGGAACTGCCGGCCCGTGTCCTCTTTGTAGAGATAGGCCAGAATCACCTGCCAGGCAAAGCTTGGGACGATTTGCCGAGCACCGGATTTCTTCTTGGCTGCGTCATTGAAACGGTCCCCAGACTCCACGGCGTTCTTCAGCAGGATGTTGGTCAATGTTGCTCGCTCTTGGGTTGACAGAGGGTTGTTATGATGCCACGTCGCTTTCGGCAGCTTTACTCCTGCAAAGGCGTTCTTGACGGTCAACCATAATGCGACACCCTCAGGCGACTTCAAGAAACCTTTGGATCCCCAAGAATCAATCAGGCTGCGAATCACCTCGTCCTGCACCTGCGTGGCCTGTTGACTGGAAAGGAACTCGTGAAGCATCGCTCCACATTCTTCTCGAAGCCAATCCTTTTCCGTGGCAAGCTGTGCAATGGCGTCGAAGAGGTGTCTGGCATCCGACTGCGACGTCTTGGCAAGAATATCGGACTGCAAGACAGCTCTGAAAGCAAGCCGCCTCCCGAGCAAATAGTTGCGCCGTTCTTCTCCGCTCACGTTGCCTTCTGGTGTAGTCAGGGATATTGCATGAGGAACGAAACCAGGAAGTGTCAATGTCGACGCGAAGCCGAGCCTCAGCGCCTCAGCCAACGCAATGGAAAAGCCAGCTCTTGCAGCCTTGGCGCCACTGCACAGGCCCTTGACGAGTCTTGTGACTGCGTAGTCCAGCCGGCCAGACGGGTCTCCCGACTTGTTGCTGAGATTTTGAAGAAGCCTCTTCAGCGCTCCCAGTCGCTGGGCCGGAATTTCTTCTCGTAGCTGATTGAAGATTGGAGCAAGTTCTGCTTTGGCCTCATCTGCCTCGACCCGCCGCCTCCGAGACGGATGTACGTTGTCGGCGCCAGCATCCGTACTCTCTTCCGCGCGTCGTCGTTTGGCGCCGGCCATCATTTGTAGTATGATTTCGGTGAGGAGGGTTTTCGCGGAAAATTGAACGATTTGGCGGGTAGAAAAGTTGAGGTCTGGAGATCGGCTTTCGGAGGCAAAACAGCCGGGACGGGCTGCTCGGGCCGTAGCCACTCAGCCGCGGTATCCGTACCGCATTATTATACTCCTCCAAGTGCATACCTTATATCAGCTCTCTGACGACAGACCAAGGGTTCTTTGTCGCGGACGCGATTGGATCCCCCGACACAGGCTTCACTGATATTTGGACTCCCCTTCGAGTGTTTATGAGTACCTATCTTGCCGTTTCAGATGGGCATTGATTTTGCAGCGGATTCGCTTGCTTGGCTGCTTCACCTACACCAGCACTTTCTTCGGAAGCTATCTAGGTCGATGCCCATTGGAACTTTCCCTATCCAGAGTAGGGCTCAAACAAGATGAGCTATCTGGTTGGCTCGCATCAGTGATGCTCCAGACGTAGATCGATGAAGGCGAAGTACATCATCAGACCAACCGTTTCGCAAGATGGCCATCGATGCTGGCTTCTCGACATCCGTGACCAAGGCGTGTATCGGGCTTCAAAGCAGTACCTATTCTCCCTCATACATTCTCCTTCGATTCAGATGATCGAATTCTAAGCCACACGGCTTGGGTGAGAATCTCGGGCAGATGAAGATAGGCAGGCCGTAGAGAACAGACACAAGAGGCTGGCAGAGAATTACCGTATGATATGCCTACCGCTGGAATGGCCGCGTACGGATCTTGCGTCAGCAGTGTTGCCTGATGAAGATGCCACAAAGGAGCTCATGCCTCATCTTCACGAACAACGACATTATTGTTTGCGCCATTTCAGCCAGCAGAGACGAGCGACAGATCGGCCAACCAGTCTCCCCACACATCACGCCACCCCTTGCCGGCATTCCCATCGGAACCCAGCGCAACGCCATCAAAGCCCATCAAAAGCCATCAAAGCCATCAAAGCCATCAACATCGGCAGAGACCGGCTGTTTGGAGCCTCCTCGCGGTGCTGACCGATGTCACTGGAAATCCGCCATCCAGCTCTCGGGGCATCACAAGACGACTTCCGGATCTCCTGACATGCCAGGTGCTACCACGACAATATCTCGCTACAGGCGTCGGAGCAGAACAAACGACCTTCTTTGATTCGGAAACGGTAGGATTACGCATACACATTCACATCCACTATCTTGCTCTCGTCTTTCGCTATATAATCCCCTTGGGTTGTTGCACGGCTTTCATCATGCTACAAGCACAGCAAGTCAACAGAGAGACTACTCGAGCAAAACAACAGCAACAACAACACCAACAACACCAACACCAACACCAACAACAACAACAACATCAATCGAGCTTCGAGCACTACGTTGAACTAGTTGCAACAGCACTGCAGACCCAGAAACCGGCGGTACATTTATACTTTATCAATCACCAACCACCACACCAAATCACGGCCAAACAACAATAGCCAGCAACAATCATGTCCGCAATCCTCATTAAATCTGGCCTAGGCCTCGGCGTCCTCGCGGCACCGTTCGCAGTCGCATACGTCTTCACAGCAGACCATAGCAGGTACGTCTATCTACCTTGCTTCCCCTCTCATCTTGTCCGTACTGACTGTAGTTGTTCCAGTCTGACCTTCGGCACCAAAGCCGCCCACGACGTCGCGGATCGCTTCTCCAACTTCCACAGCAAAGCGTACGACACGCATCTTTCGGCCGAGGAGCAGGCACGGAGGAGGAAGGATAGGCATGCGATGGTGCATGAGCAGATTCGGAATGAGTTGTTATGACTGCATGAGACGGATTTGACATGTCTGGTGTAGCTTGTTGATGAGAGTGAAGAGACCAAGGGTGTATGAAGGCGTTTTGCGGTGCACTTGGATGGGTATACCTTGCTTGCATTGGGGTAAGGGAAGGACAGGAAAGGGATGGGGGATATCCTGCGAGGCCTTTGTCTTTGGTTTTGTCTATAACATTGTCTTTGGAACCAGGAAGTTTTTCATGTATTTCGCCTTGTATTCCCAAGGATCCAACGTGAGCTCATCGCGGGCGTTTCGGGGGTGAGCTCGTAACCGTGATGGCGTATACATGGCATCCTGCACGTAGCGCATGCATTGGGCTTGGTCTCTCTCACATGCTATTCCGCACATGAGCTAGTCGCGATGTGCGGACGAGAGGTGTTATATAAGTGAAGGAGATGTTGTCGGTCGGAAGAGATGAGGCTGAGAATTGGCTTTCTCCTTGCATATGACGCCTACCTTGGAACGTGCCAGCTGTACTCGACTGCCCTGTACCTGTACCTGTCTGTCGAGGACCCGCCTACATTAATTTCCACATGGAACCCTTCCATCACTGCACCTCCTCACAACAACCACCACCCACCACCTGCAACCCTTCGCTAGACTCCACCACACATTCGTTTACGCCTCGAATCATTCCACACAATGCTTTCGTAATCCATCCGCCCACCCACAGCCTACTCCCTCCACACCCACATGCTGCCCGCGCGATAAGAAGTCCAAGATGCTCTTCTTCTCAACACTGGCACTCCTGTGCTTGTTACCCCTCATCGCCCTCGCCGCAGAAGACTACTACAAGCTCCTCGACCTCGACAAAGACGCCTCGGACAAAGCGCTGAAAAAGTCCTACCGACGCCTCTCCAAGAAATACCACCCGGACAAGAATCCCGACGACGAACAGGCCGCGCAGAAGTTTGTGGAAATCTCCGAGGCATACGAAGTGCTCTCCGACGAGACCCTGCGCAGGATCTACAACCAATACGGCCATGAGGGGGTCAAGCAGCATCGGCAACAGCAGCAAGGCGGAGGCGGAGCGAGGAATCCATTCGATCTGTTCAGTCAATTCTTCGGTGGGGGAGGACACTTTGGGGGCCAGAGACGAGGCGCGAATATGGAAGTGCGAGTCGCATTGCCTCTGAAGGATTTCTACACGGGCGCGGTGCACGAGTTCAAGATTGAAAAGCAGGTCATCTGCGACAAATGCGAAGGCTCCGGGGCAGAAGATGGGGAGAGGGACCACTGCGACCGGTGTCATGGACAGGGAATGGTGATTCAGAAGCAGATGCTCGCGCCGGGCATCTTCCAGCAGATGCAGATGCAGTGCGATAAGTGTGGTGGGAGAGGACAGATCATCAAGCACAAGTGCAGCAAGTGCAAAGGCGAGAGGGTACTGAGGGCAGAAGAGGCGTTCGACATCAACGTGGAGAAGGGCATGCCGAAGGGCGCGAGGATCAACTACGAGAACGAGGGAGACGAGAGCCCGGATATGGTTGCGGGAGATCTGATTGTGCATTTGACGGAGCAAGAGCCCAGATTGGCGGAGAAGGAGGCAGATCGCACAGACGGCACGTTCTTCCGACGGAAAGACCAGGATCTCTTCTGGCGAGAAGTCCTCTCCCTGCGGGAAGCATGGATGGGTGAGTGGACACGGAACCTGACGCACCTAGACGGCCACACCGTCCAACTCTCGCGGAAACGCGGCCAAGTCGTACAGCCGGGCTCCGTCGAAGTCATTGCCAACCAAGGCATGCCGATCTGGAAATGGGACGGCAACGGACCCGAGTACGGCTCGCTACACGTGGAATACGTGGTCGTGTTGCCCGATCAGATGGAGAAGGGCATGGAGAAGGAATTCCACGGCGTCTGGGAGAAGTGGCGGAAGAAGAACGGCGTGGATCTGCTCAAAGACAGCGGCAGGCCGGAGCCCAAGCATGACGAATTGTGAGATTTCGAAAGCGTCTGCTGTAGCAGTAGAACGGATAGAATATGTATCAGAGTAAGCATCGTTTGGAAATGAAGCCGCCAATTCACGGCGTGGAAGGATTAACCAGCCTCGGGGCGGTTTCAATTAAATGAGGCCGAACTATCCCTGGAGAGCTATTCTTTAGAGGAACGACAGAGAATCCAACCCCCTGCCTCGTGTGGTGTCTACAAGCACGGTGCCTTCAACAAGGGCACCGAAATTAGAATACTGTACGTTGTTCAAGCGCTCAAGAATGTGGATCTGGACAGCGACCCTGAAGCTATGCCATACGCCTGGGGAGATTCACGTCCTTATTCAGGAATACACCTCCACCGGGCCTGAGGATGCATCACTCGTACAGAACAGACGACATGCATCTCAACCTTACTCGGTCCCTCTTTCGGCATGATGGTCATAGGAATTTCCAATGTCATCCTCTCCGATGAAACGAATATATGCTTGTAGGGTGTTCGACGAGATGGTCGAGACCACGGAGTGTGGACGAGACGAGACGAGAGGAGACGTCCCCTGGTAATCCATATCTATCTTCGCCTTTCCATTCAGATGGAATATCGGTTGCGTTGCCGCCTGAACGAGGTTGCAAACGGAGGAAGTTGCTCCGGGAGAAGATACTCATTTGCATCGTTCGTTGGATTCAATGTGCTATTCATTCTCAGAAAAACTGTGCTTACCGGCTGGCAACTCATGCAGGGGAGAGTGCTGTATCCCCTATACTCATGATCCGCGATGCGGGCAGGGCTATTGAGTAGCACACTCTGACCTGTGAGGTTCGTGATGCGAATACCATATTCAGACGTCCAGACTCGATAGACAATCTCGGACTTGTTGGGAGAGTAAGACGGATACGTTGAAGCCCGTGAACCAGTCCGTGTTGTTGGGGGTGAGCTCAATGATGGGAGGAGTCGCCGGGAGTGCCGATTCGCTTCTTCGTCATGGCCAAGTTGCCTTGCTTGTTCAGTACTCGGAAGGAAGGCTGCTCTGCTCTAACCAGCAACGAGTCGACTGACTACATCGTCTCCTATACCAGGGACACCTCAACACTAAACCACTTCAAAAGCTGAACACGTCGATACATCAACTCCACTCGCTCGTCCAGCCTTGACGGTTGTCCTCATACGTTGTGCGTTCAGCGTCACGAGCGTGGCGTGTCGGCGAAACTTGACAAGATGTGGAGAGGAAAAGCTGTGGAATTTCCCATGTCCAAACATCTTTTCTGTCGGCTTATTCATACACTGCACGACCGGCCCTATCCGCGACATCTACTTCCTGCATCTGCAAAGGAGGACCCGGCGCAGTAGCCCCGCCATTCAAGACGGGCAGCCCATCCTTCTTCCCAAAAGACAGACACCATCTCTCAAAGTTTCGACCAGCATCGATGGCAGGCTGATCCAAGTATCGCCGAAATAGTCCTCCAACGATGAAATTAACGCACGTAGCCGGGATCATTGTCAGAACATAAGCGATGAACAGTCTTCCATTCTCGGCTGAAGATCGCTTCGAGTATTCGATGCTCGGATCCAGTCCTACTGCGCTGATCCAGATTTTCGCCCCGAGTAAGGGTGCCATCCAGGCTCGGAGGAAGATATGGCACAGATACAAACCAAAAGAGATCCGACCGAGATACTGTACAAAGCGGGTCTCGAGTCCGCGTTTGAGGCTTGCAATTTCGCCGATACCGATGAGCAGACACATTCCCGCGAAGCACTGGAAGTATCGATCTGTCTGGCGATCTAGGTAGAGACCCAGACTTGCAATTGGTTGCGCAAGCCAGTCGTAGTAAGGTCGCGGGAAGACTCTTGGATCTCGTTCATACTCATTTCGGCCCCTGGCACCAGGTAGACCGGCGAGATAGAAGCCGAAGAGGAAGAAGCCCCAAGTGACCAACGGGCGGAGCCATGGTCGACGGCTGACTTTCGGCTCAGAGAGCTCACGTTCAATCTGATAGTCCGCGAATGCCATGCCCATAAGGAATTGAGCCGCGATCCAGTCGTCTTTACAGAAGTTCTGCGCTACCATAGCGAAGATCAAGATGCGTCTGATCACCACACTAGGCACCCTCGCCAGAAAAACGATCGACAGATATACGTAGAGAGAGCCGTGGTATTCCAGGGGTATGGTCCACGATATCGCCCCGTCGTATCTGTTGAGAAGAGCGTCCCAGCGGTCCGGATATCGAAGTGGTAGGAGTAGATGGCCAAAGCTCAAGAACCAACTCTTCAGTTCCATCCAGAATGTTGGTTCCAAAGCATATACGCCAGGTGTGGGCAGGCCAAGGAGACGACAGGCGAGCATGAGGGTCAACGTCTCGATGAATACTGGCATGTACAATCTGATTCCTCGACGGAAGACAGCCGACGAGACTGTCGTCAGAAGGTCATCGTATCGTTGTTGTCGCATAATCCGCAGCATCTTGTAGGTGAGGACATAGCCCGAGATGGCGAAGAAGATGCACACTGCGGCGTCACCGCTGCCGTATATCGTTCGGATGAAGGGCGCGTAGTACCATGCGGGACTCGAGTACTTCCCGGTGCCGTACGACAGTGTCCGATCAATCCACCCATCGATATTATGGAATATGAAGACTTCAAAGGCAGCCAATCCACGCAGTCCATCCAGCCAAGCCGTACTGCGCAGTTCGAGAGCCGGCGACGGGTAATCGAAGACGACGCGCAGGGTGTCGGCATATCCCAGTTCTCGGACACGCGCCGGGAGTTGCAGCAAGCGAATCGCTGTCCGCGAGAGCATGTGCAAGCCGTGTGCGGCCAGTGTCCGCGGTGCAGACTTCCAATCGATATTGTGTAGCAGTGCCTCCTCATCCTGGTGCGCATCCGCGTCCGCATCGTGGATGGTGAACGTCTCCATGAGCCGCGCGCTCTCATCGCCATCTCTTTCCATCATCGTCGCGGCTCAGATTCGGGCTCTCGGTATGGATCGTGGATGTGCCATCGTGTGTATTTCTTATGAGTTGTGCTGTCACGGGGTCGACTCAAGAGGTGAGGTCTGGCACAGCTGTGAGGAGGAGAGTTGACTTTACATTATTGGAAGCTTCGATTCGCGGGTCTGATCAAACTTCCCGCGGCTCCCTTTGAGGAACCTTGAAGATTCCGGGCAACGGTCGACCACATCTTCGTTCCCATCGCCTCGGCATCAATCGCACTGTGATCGCAGTTTTGGAGGAAAATGAGAAATTCGATGCAAAGTGGAGAGAACATGAAAACAGTCGGAGGAAAGAAAGGGTAAGAATTGAGACTTCCATGTCATGTCATGTCATGTCATGTCATGTGCCGTGGGTCATGCCGCCCTGCACAAGGATCTTACCTCATCACCTGACGCGTCAATCTTTCCCGACGGAGTGGAAGAATCGGTCCTAAGAAATGCTCCGTTGTCAGCGAGGAGTCCCGGCCAAGGCAAACATCACAACCCGGAGCTGCACGTCGTGTCAAGCGCAGAGATATATGGTCTACCCGAATCTTGGGAGTCTGTTGCCCCGTAGACATCAACAACCCGAATTAGAAGTCATGAAACTCTGGGAAGCTGAGTCGTGAATGCTCGACTGGGAGAATGCAGGTTCACTTGGCACAGAAAATCAACCGCGAGCGATATCTAGGCGAACAGAGAGCAGAAGTGAAGCGGACGAGCATTATGGAGGTGATATGTAGAGGCCGGAGTGTTTGGAGCGACGAGGTGAGAGTTCATCAGTGCAGAGGACACTCTCCGAGACGCTTCTGTCATATTGTATAAGTGTGTAGTGTAGTGTCACGCTCGGTCGGGATCAGCTCAACAGGACTCTGATCTCCCCCTCGGTCCTCGGGAAACATTCTCGCAACCACACTTCGTGCTCTTCGTCAACTCCTCCATTCACCTGCTTGCCGCGAACCTCGTCCGCCTGAATGATCAATCTCTCAATCTCCTCAAAGTCCTCGCAGAAGCGTTCTGCCGCGTGTTCAATCACCCTTCTCGCCACGGCCTTGTTCTCCAATTGTCCTAAGAAACGTCTCGCGTCCTCCGTTGCCGTGGGAAGCAAGGCATCGAGCTGTTGGGCGATGGAGAGAATCTGGCTAGGGTCTTTGTATGAAGACGAAAGGTCTTCCGCCGTCGTAATGCTGCCAACCAGGGGTTTGAGGCCAGATTCGTGTAAGAACCAAGTATGCATAGTCTCAATCAGTTCGGCCTCGTGGGCTTCGATTCTTGCTTGCAAGTCCTCAGATCGATCCGCAAACGAGTGACTGCTTAGCGCTTCCTTGGTAGCGAAGAGGCAATTCAGGGCAAAGATGTGGTTGTTGGGATTGCGCATACGCTTGGTGATGTTCTCGCAGCCTGCCAAGAATGGATCGAGCGCTTCTTGGAGGATGGGTTGGAAGCCCTGGATACGCTGCGCGCGGTTGGTGACGACGATGGAGGTGTCGTAGCTCCTCATCAGGACTTGAAGGGTTTGCAGTGCATCGACCAGGAAGTCTGGAGGCGATAGGTCTTCTGTTGCAATGGAGAGATCGGTATGCAGGTTGGCGACGTGATCACGCATAGTGGAACGGAATGCTCGCAGGGCGATGTCGGACAGAGGGCGCAAAGTGTCCAGCAAGGCTGAGTTCTCGCCGAGAAGGTTGGCGAACAGGCTGGTGTAGAATACGACCAAGTTTGAGATCTTGTACGCAAGCGTGGCGTCTTCATGGCTCTGGATGACTTGCTCCGTTCTTTGCTTCAGCTGTCTGAAGACGCCGGCAAGATCGCGATCCACCAGCTCATTCAAGGCTTTCTTGCCGTCAAACGACGGAATGCCGTCTTCGTCGTTTCTTGTCCACGGCTCACTCTCGATGCCGGCCTGGATGCTCTTTGCAATCTCGTCGCCTTCGGAGATGAACAAGACTTCCAGGGCTTCTCGCTCGGACACAGTCGCGGAATGGGCCCACGCCAACATGTCACTGATATATCGCAGTGGGTCGTGGGCTGAGAGCTCGATCGCTTTTCCCAGCACAGAATGATCGGGATCCACAGGCGCTCCTGTCAGTGCCGAGTAGAAGTTGTTGGACAAGATGTGCTCCCTAGCCTCTGCAAAGCAATCCAAGCAATTCTGGAATAGTGTTGGCCTCTCGGCTAGCACCCGCAAAGCCCTCCGAATGGCGGCGCTGATCTGCGGATTCTCCAGATCCAGGGACTTGAACTCTCGCTGTACCCATCTGAACAGCTTCTGAAAGGCGGCATTGAGTTGTCGTGAGCTCGGTTCTAGGATCTCCAGTCCAAGGCGTTGGTTCTCCGACCCGAGCAGGATCTGACAGTCCTCGTGAATCTTCTTCATGCGGGTCAAGATTCGGAAGAATTCATCGTTGACGGGCTCGGCAGTCGAAGTCAAGGTGGCAAGGTCTGCGTCCGACACAACGAAGTGTGCCTTGAAGGCATCTAAGAGCTGCTGCTTGGTCTCCACCTGGCGCTTGTCGGCGAGAATGGTCTTGGCCTCTTCCATCATCGGACCGGTCTCGCGGTTGGCCGCGGCGATGTGCTTCCTCATCTCGACACAGCTGCTATTGAGATTGGAAATGGCAGCTCCAATGCGCTTGAGTTGCTCGGCGACCTTGCCAAAGTCCTGTACGATTTCGCCATTGCACTGGATGAGTTCTCCTTGGACATCCAGACGGAAGTTTCGCCGGGCCTCAGCCGTGTTCTGTAGACCTCGCTCATCAAGGATAGACAGGGCATCACGTATTTCCAGATCGGCATATGAGGCGGACAGCACGCTCGTGATCCTGTTCTGCAGGGCATTAGACCTGGCTGCTGCTCCCGACGCTGGTGTGGTCGGTGACAGGAGAGAAGGCCCGGTTTCGGTGACTGGTGAGCCTACACGGCCATTGAAGTAGGAGTCGGCCATAGCGACGACACCTCAGCCTCACTCCTCGGCCAGGTCTGGTGTATACCGTCTGAACCATCGGGTGTACGTTGGAGATGGCACGTATCAGCCTTATCGGGATCGGGATCGGGATCGGGATCGGGGTCGGGATGTCGGCATCTCACAATCAGATCCGGGCCACTGCTGCGCCTCACGGGTCTGGCCGCGTGCAGCATCAATCGCGGGGTGTGTCCTGTGTGCTGTGACGGGACGGCTGCAAAGGAAGCAGACCTGACCTGCAGCCTTTCTTTCTAGTTGGATCGACTGCCCTGCTCTTAAACGTAACTTACCTTAACTCCTGCTTGCATTCACATCTCATCTCCGCCACACCTCCTACCCAATCCACCTTGACATATCCGCCGACCGACTCCCCGACGTATCCGCCCTCCTACCTACTCGTCTCGCTCCAGAACGCGCTTCTCGCCGCCGACATCTTCTTCTTACGCACGCGATCCATCCGAATAGAGAGACACTGCCTGGAGCTCTGTTCCGATGGGGAAAAGGTACGTTCCCTTCTTTCTCCTCTCGCCAGCCTCACCAGCTCGTGTAACTCCTGCCCGGCCTGAGACCGATGACGTTAAGTGGGCGCAACTCTCGACGGGATGCGCGTGAGCGTGGAGCAGACCAACCTCTGCCAACTTTCTGCCGGTCCACAGAAAACTCCAGGACAACGCACCTCCTGCCCACCCATCTGGAATCCCACGTGCAACTTGCATCGCTTCCACAGCAAGCATGGCCGATACCCCAATGGAGGAGAAGAAGGTGCACGACATAGACCTCGATCTCGATCTCGATCAACAACACGACGCACCCCAACCCGGGCCCTCCCACGACCGCCGCACCAGCATCGCAGATACCTCCCACTATGCCCGTCCACGGCCCTTCCACATTCCACGCCATGTCTCCCACAGCTACCCGGCCTTCAAGCACAAGCAGGAGTGTGCCCTCAAGATTGCCATGCAGGACTTGGAGCACGAGATGAAGAAGAGCACGGGCGTGGTGTATCTCGCCCTGGACAGTCAGACGCTGACCTTGCACAAAAGCCAGAGCAAGCTCTCCCAGCAAGAGCTCGCCGATCTGCAGAAAGCCACACATTTCGACAAGAAGGAGCTGCAACAATGGTATAAAGGTATGGACCGCTGTGCAAGCACGTGTTGGGAATGGTATTTGACTGGGCGACAGGCTTCCTCAAGGACTGCCCCTCGGGCATGCTCACCAAATCCGAATTCCAAAAAATCTACAAACAGTTCTTCCCCTTCGGCGATCCTTCCTCCTTTGCAGATTACGTCTTCAACGTCTTCGATGCCGACAAGAGTGGGAGTATCGACTTTAAGGAGTTCATCTGCGCTCTGTCTGTCACTAGCAGAGGGAAGATGGAGGACAAGCTTGATTGGGCCTTTCAACTGTACGACATTGACGGAGACGGCAAGATAAGCTACGACGAAATGTTGGCCATCGTTGAAGCAATCTATAAAATGGTCGGTAGCATGGTAAAACTGCCGGAAGACGAAGATACACCCGAGAAGCGCGTAAAGAAGATTTTCAGGATGATGGACAAGGACGAGAACGGCAGTCTGGATATGGCAGAGTTCAAGGTAAGGGAACATACATTGTGCCCTGTAGATTGGCCTGAGCAATGCTGACCGTATCACAGGAGGGCAGTAAGCGCGACGAAACCATTGTGTCGGCGCTATCACTCTACGACGGACTGGTATGATAGGACTGAGCCTGGCTTCGCAGCAGAACAGCATAGCACAGATGGCAAAGGAATGAAAGGAAACGCGTGACGTCCGGAGAAGATGAGGCGGACCTCTGCAGCCCGGTATTGGATACTAGGGATGATGCATTATGGCCGAAATGGCAGAACTCATGTGATACGTTGATACCAATTGCAAGAAGATTGTATTGTTCGAGGCTGATGATACGAGACCTCGAGCTCGTTAAGCCGTCGCAAGAACATGCGTGTTTCGTATTCCGGACAGGAGAACCTGGAAAGCACTCTTGCCCAAAGCTTCTCCTTGTCACATGCTTGTGTCATGATAGCGTGAAGCTTAATTTTGGCTTGCTGGGGAAAAAGCTTATTCTGTCACGGATTGCTGGAGGGAGCGGTGGCATCGTGGTTACTCGGTATCTGGAAGGGTTTGACTGGGGGAGTACATGTATGTGGTTGTGCTTTGTTTCTCTGGCTCATGGTACAGGGAATCGTCCGGCCAGAATGGCCCAATCGCAATAGAGTGGTAGATTTCCAGAAGCGACCGTCGACTTCGCAATAGCAAAGACGCGGCGATCTCGTGTCGTCTCGGGAGAAAATGAAGTACAATTTAGGGGTTCGGAGTCAAAGTCGAGTACTTATCGAGTCTGGAGTGCTCCTCCAATTGCTTCTACTGCGCTGGTTAGTCGCTGTACTGTGAGGAAAGACGCATAGATTGGTGTACGCAATGATTGCCGTTCGTTCCTTCCGGACCGGATTGAAATCGGCCCTCTCCGCAAACTGAGAAGAAGCTCATTGTCGTGGCGGAGGAGGGAAGAAGTTCAGTTGTGAAGATGATACAGTCCGTGGTGGAAATTCGCGGAAGAATGTCTGTCAGCGTCAGGCAATTGATGGCAGACCACTGAGCAGATGGCGATAAGACCATGCCCCCTTTCTCAGCTACCACGAGAGCACCGAGCCAACTTGGCGTCATGTTGACCACTGTTGTTCGCTGCTACCTCGAGTGAAAGGTGGTGGAGAGTTTTGTGTGAAGTTTGCAGGACGTGCGATTGGTGTGAGGTGGGCTGGATGTGCATGGCAGTGCCGGTGCTAATTACTCTTTGAGGAAATCCAAGGGTGAGATGGTGCCTGCTCTCCAGCAAGGGAGAGGGAAGTGAGCTTTGCTTTGCACAGCCGAATCAACTCGCGAGATTGCTTAACGCTTACAACTACAACGCTTATAACTACAACGCTTACAACTACAACAGTCTTGCCGCATTTTGCCCTTCTCCGCATGCCGAGTTGTGCGAGTTATCGAACAACCCCCTGTTCGCTTTCCGTCCAGATGAGTGTTTCCAGCAATTCTTCTCGGTGACTCCTTGGATCTTCAACCTGATATTGACGGGACACATGTTGTAGTGGCAGCAACTTCCGGAGCCGTGAGAGTCGCGGCGACAGAACTTAGCGCTTTTGCGAACGAGGAGATGGCGGGATTGACCTCAAGAAAGGATGAGGCGGCAGCAGTGGTTGATTCGGGAAGCCTGCCAGTGAATACGAAAGCCGGATTGCTGGCCAACGCGATGGTCTGGAAAGTTGTCGCTTGTCTCGGCATAGCGGCGAGTGTGGAAAACGCCGCTCGAGCTACTACAGAGCTCGAAGTCGACGAGTTTCCAGGACCACTGATCGACTTGGTGAGGTCACCGCTCTCGATGTAGACTCCGGAGAAGAGCCAATCTTCTGTCGCTGCGCCCCTGCTCCCTGAAGCTGGCAGCCGAAGAACACCGAGATGCCAGTCGGCCCCGTTGGAAGAGGTGCTCGCAGAGATAGGACCTGCAATCTCGACCAAATCGTCCGACGCTGTGGAGTGGTAGAAGGTGACAGTCTGAGCGTCGAAGTCGATACCGTAGGCAATGTTGTGCCAAACACCCGCCTCAAAAGTGACGTTCCATTGGCTCTCGCTATTTGCATACCAGTGAAGTAGGTTGCTGGAAGATTCGGAGGTTCCGTATTTCATCTCCGTGAAATGGCTCTCAAAGAAGCATACCTGATGCTCTTCATCCTGAGAAGGCGGGTTGGTGCCCGTATGCTGCATAGAGAAGTGGTAGAACACCTTGCCGGCATTGATGGCCGCCTTAGTCTGAGGTATCAATTCGGTGCGCATCATGGTTTGGTCGTTCCAGGATGAGGTGTTGTCAATCGTGATGCGAAGGCCTTGATTGGAGCCGGTGTCCGCGGGATTCTTGTAACTTGCTGACATGGTGACGTACTTATCTCTCGAGCCGCTTCCATGGATGTAGTATTGGTAAGGTCCGTTTTGGTTTGACCATGACCAGTCGTCAAGGAACGAGGCATCGGTGTAGTTGTTGAGTCGGCCATCCCAAAGAACGCTGCCGACGACCAAGTCAGCCAGAGCGAGGAGTACGGCAGAAGTGAACATGATTGAAAAGAATGAACGCGCAAGATCAACCCGCAGCACAGGGAGGGTATAGAGTACAGTGAGTAACGGGAGTGCACGGAAGGAGGACGATCAACGCTCAGTACTTGTAAGAACAATGATGCACGTCGAGTGGCGACACTCTTATCCTGACATTGGACATTGCTCCGCCTATTGATGCAGCACACGGAGATTGTCCAGCAGAAATTGATGACGGTACAGACAAACCCGGTGCTTCAACGCCGAGATCTCCCGTCTGGTGCCTGCAGATATATTGCATTCTGAAACGTCGGCAAAGATGGTGCGGAAGCCGCCAGACACAGAGGCGCTTCTCGGTTCCAAACTGTCGACACTCCGAGCGCACGAGGAGAATCGATATCGATGGGCTTCCGCTTTCTTTTGGTGTCTTGGTGATGATGGTCTTCACAAAAAAATAGGTCATCCTTCCGCTGTCTCGCCGCTTCAAGGAAACCAGCAAAGCTGCGGGAGTGGCCATGCAATGCAGCAGCCTGCTCGAGTCTACATTGGTGTTTCTGTTGCGACCGAGCTCTGGCCTCTCAGCCCACCCCTCGATGATATCAAGATCCTGCATGATTTTCAGATCAGATTGCGTGCCGAGGCGCGGAAGGCCATGGATAGTGGAAGTACCGTGCTCGATGAGGTCATTCATATCATCCAGCGAGTGCAGCGAGTGGAGGATGTGGATCATCAAGAGTGCGCATTGTCTCTCAGAGGAGCTGCTTACACGACCCTGTGAAGAGTCATCGTCCAACTCTTCCCCATGCTTTTGGGAATACTGATCTGCCAGCGGTTCGATTCGGGAAAATTTCGTAATGGTGCTAAAGTAGCGAAAGACGGTCGAATGGTGCGAGTGAAGACGTTGCTGGTGAGACGGTAAGATAAAACAAACTTTTTCAAGGTGTTGCGAAAGTCGATATCGATTGACATCTTCATCTTCATGCCGGGGGACATCTTCCTAGAAAATGCCGCTTTGACTTGAGATTCCATTCTGCGCCATCAGAGCGAGAAGATGATAATATGTTTCCGATATGAAGTTCCTGCGTGCGTATGTCTGCAGTATCGAGGAAGCACGAAAGACCGTAGTAGATCAATGCGCCAATACTCTCCATAGGTCGCTCCGTTACTTTCAGGTTGAGGCGAACGAACTTGAATACAGCTCGAGGAAGCGTCACGGGGCGACGATAGATGGATTGATTGTAGGCGGGGATGAAAAGGAGAGATGGGAGCACAAGAAGTGTGGCCGTTTGATGTTAAAGCACCTGGACCGTGCACTACCTTGACGAGGCGTCACACACCCAAACATTCACTTAGCCTACAGCACTAGACAGGGATTCTGAGTCACGAGCTTGGTAACCACTTCAATTTCCATTCTTTGTCAAAGAGACTCTGCGGCCTACTTTCTCTTGTTCGTTAATACGAGAGCCTTTAGCAATCCTATATTCGCTAGTCGGACATTGTGATAACATGATGAAGAGCACTCAGGAGGTGAGAGCTACATCCTGCTACTCAAGCACCCCCCGTGACATGACCACTTCCCCACTCTCTTTCGTCTCCAACAACATCCACGTTCTCGGATGCTCTTTGCTCGGATCGGTATCGCATCTCGGTACGACTCAATAACAGCTCGATCCGAGACATTCTCATTGTCACCATTCCTGAATCCCTTTCTCAATCATCTGTTCGCAATCTTTGCGACCGCATCACAATTGTTCATAGACACGCACAATCGAGGGAAACTATCGCCCGACGGGTACTGTTGCGCTCAGCACTCAATCAACATACGCAAATGCCCCTGTAATGTGCAATGAACGCGATGTCGGCGACATTGTCGAGGTTGAATTGGAGGAGTTGTTCATGTTGGCAAAGTCGCAAAAGCTTCTCTTGAAATTGAGAGCAAGAAATCGAGCGCCATTGTTATGATTAGACCATTAGCTCTTTACGTTGTGAACAATGCAGAGCTTTCTGTAGGGGGATTAGCAAAGGTCATTGCATGCATAACGAGTCTCCGTGAAGACAAGGAACGCAGTAGTCCCTGTACTACTAATAGAAGACATTCTCTATTGCGTCCATTAGCTGAAGCGTCTCCAAATACCACATCGCCACATACTGTAGCACCCGTGTCTCTTTGCGTAGTTAACTCACAAGTGCCGCGAGCATGACGCCTCCCAGAAATCATCGCATCATTGCAGGAAAAAGATCTTCAACTGAAGTCGGAGCCCCATACTAGTACATGCCGACTTGTCTTGACCGCCGTAGGGCAAGTTTATCAAACATTTCCCGTCAAATTCTTCTCTCCATAGCAGCCGCACTCTTCCTCTTCTGTTCCTCTCTTTCCAATGCCTCGACGCGTCTCTTCAGGTCCAGCACCTCACCCTTTGTCGCCGGCCGCTCAAGATGTCTCTCTGGAGCTGGACGTCCAGGCGCAAGTCGTATGGTGTAGAAGCCTGGTGGTAGCTCACCTGGGCCCGGACCGCGTGGCTCGAGCTGCACTCCGACATTCAAAGTATCTAGTCGCTTCAACAGCTCTTCCAGATCCTCGATAGTTGGTGGTTGAGGCTGGAGCCCGACTGTAGGCTGGAGATGCTCGGAACTATCGGAGGTCTTTGTGAAGAGCCGACGGACTTTAGATGCCTTGCGTTGAGGTGCTGGCTGGGTTGGTGGTCGAGCTCCCGAGCAAGCGACGGCTTCAAGTGGATCTGCCATTGTGGTCTTCGTATTGGAGCGACGATATTGTTGAGGTTTTGACCTTGTGCTGCTGCGAGATCGTCGTGGTGTTGTAAAGAAGGGATGGAGGCGTGGGTGCGATCTGTATATGTGGATTGTCAGGCGTCGCTGCTCATCCGCATTTCAGCTGTGAATGTTGGAGCTTGAAGGAGGACCAATGAAATTTTCGCTCTGGAAGGCCCATAATGTAATGTTCGGCACTAGTCGGGGGTAATGAGCCGCGCTGAGGCAATTCGACTTTAAGTTAGGGAAGGCAGTCGAACATGGAAGGGACGACCCAAGTTCGAATGCTCTCTCTCAGAGCTGTGTATGATGGATCGAAGATACTGCTATATACAGGCAGAGCACAAGATCTTAAACGAAGAACGGCCTCGTCCCGACCCTGACCGCGCGGTGTGGCTGCGAAGCATGTGAAGTATACATCCGTGCACGAATACGCTTAGTCATCATCCTTGGTCCTCTCCTTGCTCCATGAAGTTAGGTTGCTATGGAGTTTGCGTGGTGCCGCTGTGGGTGAGAAGTCGTAAGGCTTACGGCAAATTAAGTCAGTCGTTCTCTTCAATTGTCCAGTCAAAGTCACAGCGCACAGGTCGAATATTGGAGCCGATGCTGATCACTTGCTTCTGTAGTAATTAGGGAAAGTCATAAGCTCGACTTCTGGAATGACTGGACAAACATATTTCGACGTGACGGTTGAAAGACGAGGAGTCGACAGATTGCCGCTGGCTACCACACAAACACGACAGAGACGGATCTGCGCGACGCTATGCTCCACATTGATACAGCCATTTTACCAAAGAGGGTATCGTAATTCACACCAAAATTACCTGGGCCAAGATCAGTTGGATTGCAACGTCCGCTCGCATTGCATGTAACCCAACTAGCGTCACTCGGCTTCTTATTTAGATTTCTCGTCGAATTTGACCTTCTTGCCGTTGCCATTGATCGCGCCACTCTGGGCGAACTCAGCGGGCTCATCTTCCATCTTCCGCTTTCCCGTGCCCTCTTCGGCAGGAGCTGCAACTTCCTGCTTAGGCTTCTTCTTCTTGATCATGCCACTAAGATCGTTGGCGTTCTGAGTAGCCTCGTCAATACGCTTCTGCTGCTCCGCCTTGCTCTCACCGAGCATAGCGCCGAGAACACCACGAAGAGGATCTTGGTCAGCTCCAGGCGCACCGGCTGGACCGAATGGCCCTTGCATCGCGCTGAGAGACGTCGCAGGTTTGCGCAGATCTTCGAGGCGGGTCTCCATATCTCCAGTCATCTCCTTGACGTCGTCGATGCTCTTTTTCAGCTCTGCTGCCTTCTCTCCTTCCAGCGACGCAAGACTTGCTTCCTCTTTGGCTATACGCATCCTGCAGGAAGCAATTGCGAGTTCCATCTCCGCAGCTGCGTCCTCGCGCTTCTCCTCATCCACTGCTGCAACTTTAGCCTCGCCGTCCGGGCCCTCTTCCCTCGATGTAACGGACGCGAACTCCAGTGCAAGCGAGAGTTTGAAGTGCGCTTCTGCAACCAAGCTGCTCTCCTCGGGATACAACTGTATTTTCCAATTTAGTGCCTCGCGGGTGTCGTTGATCGCATCCTCGAAACGCTCGTTCTCCAGTGAGATCTCGGCCTGCAAGTCGTGTGTATCTGCCAATCTCTCCTTGAGCTGCCGTGTTTCCGGTTTCTCGTCTTTGCCTTTCCCCTTGCTACTATTGTCTGCTTGCGCAGCTTCCAGTTTCCGCGTAAGCAATATGCGCGCCATGTCCAATATCTCGTATGCGGTTTGGAAGTCGTCCTCTTCTTGCTCTTCAGGCTCTCCGCCGCCTTCTTCCTCCTCTTCCTCCGAATCTGTGAAGTTCTCGTCGCCAGTGATCTGGAAGTATGGATTTGACGAGCCACTCGCAGTGAAGCTTTTGGTCTCGTCCTTCTCCTCAACCGCAGCCTCGACAACCTCTTCAGCCATCTTCTGCTCCCCATCCTTGATCGCGTCCGCAATCAGAGAGCTTCCCTCGCCATTCTCATTTGCTGCGCTACTACTCTCGGCCTTTGTGACCTTGCGCTTCTTCCTCTTGGGTTCCTCGGTGTTTGCGACCTTTCCACCCAACACGTCTGAGTTCGACACCGCGACATGATACAAGCATCTTCCATACTGGTACAGCAGATCTGCGTTCTCGATAGCCATCTCTCCGTTGATTTCATCCTGGACTTGCGCGGCCTCGCTGAAGTGCTCTGCCGCCTGCTCGTAGTTCTTGAGCGAGTATTCCTTCGTCGCGGCGGCCTTGAGCTGTTCGAGCTTCTCCGTCAGCGTCGCGGCCGCGGCGGTTGCTTCGGCCATGTTTTAAGATGGATGCGATCGTGATAGAGTTAGATTTGTGGTGTTCAAGAGGAAAAGACGTGAGTGTATGTGCATGTGCTTGGAAGATCGTCAAACACAGCTTGCATCACGTTCAACGCACGCGGGCATGACTAAGCATTCGCGCTAATGCGCGTACCGCGACGCGTCGACGTCAAACCAGAGCCGTTGCTTTACTTTCACGAGCAGTGTCACTGCAAGTCAACACAACCACGATATGGCGATACCGCAGAAACCAGCGGAAGCTTTCTCTTCGTCCCCTGCCTTTGCAACACCCGTCCATCCCCTCAACAACAATCCTGGTCAACGACCTCCCCCGCCGCCAGCATTTAAGCCTCAGATAGCGACTATATTGCCGACTCTCCTGCCCCCGCCTACATTACGGCCTTTGGCGTTTAGAACATTCACGAAGAAGCACAATCTCACCCTCAATTCATCAGCGCTCCAGGCTCTAGCGACATTCATAGGCAGGCACTGTGGCTCAGGATGGCGGGAAGAGGGCACTGGGGAGAAGGTATTGGAGGAAGTCGCGAAGATCTGGAAGGCAGAAAATGGACCTGTCATCGTCGAGGACGGCGATAGATTGAAGACAATCTTGAGAACCTTGGAAGGATGCATGAGTGTAGGAAGGATAGGGACGCTCAAAAGTGGTAGCAGTCTCAGTAGGCAGACGAGTTTTGCTTTTAGCAACGACTCTGCTGTGGATCAGGGAGACTCGAGAAGACCCAGTCTGGAGAGGCAAAGCAGCAGCTTCGGGCTCTCAGGATTGAAGGTGAACTCACCTGGACCCGAGGAACAGGAAGAAGGAAGCAAGGATCCGCGGAGCTGGTTGAAAGTCGTCAGTGCATTCGACCAACCTCGATTTACGTACGATGTCGACAAGAAGCACTTCTTGACACTGTCCTCGAGGCCGAGCATGTTCCCTAATCCTTCGCACAAAACAGCAGTCTTCAAAGAACGATACAACATCATACTTCAGAGATTGTTGCGTAACCCGGCATTCCAAGCGCCATCGCTCTCAAGCATACAGCCAACGATCTCAAGAAGGAACAAAATTTCCGCTGCAGAGCGCAATTTGTACAAAATCACCCCGATTGCGAACTTATTAGGTCGAGGCGGCAGTTCGCACCTGCTGCTAGGAATGCTGGTGATTGCGCCCACGGGCACACTTGCGCTAACCGATTTGAGCGGGAGTATTTCCCTGGACCTTCATCATGCGACATCGATGCAGGAAGACGAGCCATATTTCTGCCCCGGCATGATAGTGCTGGTTGACGGCGTGTACGAGGAAGACTGGGCTGGAGCTGGATCAAGTGGTCTTGGAAACACTGGAGGCGTTGGCGGGACCATTGGCGGTCGCTTTGTTGGATTTGAAATCGGCGGACCTCCAGTTGAAAAGAGAGACGTGTCGCTCGGTATCAATTTGAAAGCCGAAGACTTGGGAGGTGGTTTCGGCTGGACCGACTTCCTAGGCCAAGGCTCCGAGCGTGCTGTGGGGAGTCGAATGAGGAGGCTGGAGCAGCGACTTGTTGGATTAGAGGCCGAATTGGAGGGCGGGCGGGCCAGGAAGATGGTGTTTGTTTCAGATGTGACTCTGGACCGACCGACGACGCTGTCCGCATTACGAAAGGTGTTGGAGCAATACTCCGGAGCAGAAACTCCACCAATGACATTTGTACTCACTGGGGACTTTGCTAGTACAGCAGCGATGGCAGGCGCAGGAACTGGCTCGATCGAGTACAAGGAGCTATTCAATGAACTTGCGGCAGTCATGTCTGATTTCCCTTCCCTGTTGCGCTCCTCAACCTGGATATTCGTTCCCGGAGACAATGACCCCTGGGAATCCTCTTTCAGCGCTGGAGCAAGCACACTAATACCAAGACAAGGCGTGCCAGAGCTTTTTACAAATAGAGTGAAGCGCGCATTTGCGACGGCAAAGTCAGAGGCCGGGTTTGCCAAAAAGGACCATGTCGATGGCGAAGCAATTTGGACGAGCAACCCGACAAAATTGAGTTTGTTCGGGCCTGCACACGAAGTCGTTATTTTTAAAGACGACATCTCCGGTCGGTTCAGAAGAAACGCCGTACGCATAGGTCAGGCTGCAAAGCAAACGCAGCAGCCACCCACAGAAGCTGCAGAGTCACAATCTGGAGAGGACATTGTTATGTCAGGCGCATTGCCTTCGACCGAGGATGTCATAGACGGAGACTCACAAATGACGGAACAAGCAGCGGTCGACTCGCCTATGGCTAATGACACTCCAGGCGAACCTTTCGTTGTCAAGGAAGCAAAGCGACTGATCCTGTCTCTACTCCCCCAATCTACGGTGTCGCCGTTCCCATTGACAGTGCGTCCTGTCCATTGGGACTACGCTGCTTCTGCTCTGGGGCTGTACCCGTTACCTCACACTCTCGTGCTCGCGGATAAGGAGGCGAGTCCATTCGCTCTAACATTTGAGGGTTGTCACGTTATCAATCCTGGACGATTAGTAGAAGGTGGTGGCAGGCGGAAGAAAGTACAGTGGGTTGAGTATGACTGTTGGACGAAGAGAGGGACAATTAAAGAGGACTGGCTTGGTTGAGTTCCAAGCGAAACCGGTTTGGTGTATCAAGTCATCTCACAGCAACCTACCAGCGCTGAATGCGTCAGTTCTGCAGCATTTGGTGACTATTAACACCAATCTGTGACCTTGCGAGAACCGCCGTTCAAGCTCAAGATGCTCGCAGGAACTGAGTTGCACGACCGAGTAAGACATCCGCGTCGTTTGGCGTGTGGAACAAAGACCCAGACCATCAGAGGACTAGTACGCGTCCCATGTGAAGAAGCTCTGACAATGTACTGCATCACTGCTCCTTGGTACAGGAAATTTATCCAAATGCGGTGGCGGCTGAATAGACGAAGGCGACCTTCTACATGAAACGAAGGCTTGTGATCAAGCGCTGGCTCGGACATTTAACGAACGCCGTCTCTCCTTTCACTTTCAGTTCGCGAAAATTGCTACAGGACGGGAAAGCTCGCTCCGCATCGCTGACAAGATGGCGACCGCAACTTATTTGGGAGCATGCGCCGCACATCAGTTCCTGAAGGTGTCCCGGAGAAAGATATAAGGTCCATCGATCCTAACTACGCCCGATGGTCTTCAACGCGTGCCGCTGCGATTGCAGCATTAATTCACCGTCTTCTCATCCAGCCTGTCCAGCATCATGACTTCTCTATCACTCGTGCTGGTTGCAAGCCTCATCGCCCTCACCACCAGTGCTGCAACCAAGACTCTCGTTGAGCGAGCCGACGTCTGCGGTCAATGGGATTCCAGAAATACAGGGACGTACACTCTATACAACGATGAATGGGGCATCAGCGGCTCCACAGGTTCGCAATGCGTGGGCGTGGACAGTCTGAGCGGCACCACCATCAAGTGGCATGCAACGTAAGATGCAATCTCTTTCTCGATCCCACCTAGCCACCACAACTCACGACGTTCGCATCCGCAGCTGGTCTTGGACAGCCGGCTCCGGCGGTGTCAAAACATACCCCAACGTCGTTGCGAACTATGCCGCCAAGCAACTTTCCGCCATCTCCAGCATGAAAACCTCCTGGTCCTGGTCCTACAGTGGTTCTTCTATCGTCGCGGACGTTGCCTACGACCTCTTCACTTCATCCTCCGCCACTGGATCCAACGAAAACGAGATCATGATCTGGCTCGCTGCGTATGGAGGTGCTGGTCCGATCTCCGCTTCTTACGATTCATCCGGAAGCCCAGTGCCAGTGGCGACTGTCACGCTTGCCGGATACAGCTGGAAGTTGTACAAGGGCAGCAATGGAGTGAACGAGGTCTACTCTTTCTTGCCAGCAACCGGAAGCATCATCACCATCTTCAGTGGAGATATCAAGACCTTTATCTCGTATTTGACGAGCAATCAGGGACTTAGTAGCTCTCAGTATCTGATTTCTGCTGGAGCAGGGTCGGAGCCGACTAGTGGAAGTGGAGCCAAGTTCACGGTTTCTGGATATAGTCTGGTCATTGCTTGAGCTGGAGACAGCTACCCATGGAAGGGGAGGACATGAATGTGATATTACACTCTGCCACATCTTATTTCCAACATGCTAAGAGGCTACAGAATCTCTATTATCGACAGTATCTTAGACAACAGACATCGCAAAATCCTAGGCGGTGTCTGAGCCTTAATGTTTGTGCTGTTGTAAGGGTCAAATTAGGGAACGGTTAGGTCTCAACTCGAGGCACTCTCTTCACGTTGACGCTTTCGTTGGCTCTCGCAACCAACGGCCCTCATAATTATAATGGCAAAGCTCACTCGGATCAATCGCAGCTTCATGAGCTACTCTTGTAGATTGCTTTGCAGTTCACCTTGGCCGTGAATCATCCATTTTGTCTATCACATCGAGTGCGCCTCTAGGTGATCAGGCCTCTCCAGCTTTGGTCATGAGACAGGCTGAGGATGAACGTTGTTAGCATGAGAACGACGAGCTATTTGAGGCAAGTCTCTCCGACGGAACTGTGGGGCAGAAGTAACGCGTATTGCATGCTCCGCCTTAGCTTGGCGAGGTCGGGCTGAGACCGTTGAACGCTTCAGTCTCTAGAGCTCTCCAAGACTCGCAGTTACTATTTGAAGTAACAGACGAATGCGACGACCAGGTATCGCAGTGTACAGTGAGATTGCAAGTGGCGAAAAAAGGCGTCGCAAAAGGGAACCAGCAACGACCTGTCCTGTGACCCTTTGTAAGACAATGCACCACAGTAGAATCGTCATTAAGGATGCTGAGCACAAGGAGAGCATAGTGGCCAACACGCTGCTGTCAAAGTAGCACATCCAGAGACACTCTAGTTCGATGATTACGCCGCCTTTTGAGGGAGAGCATTGGTGCTAGAGCTGCACGACGCTGCTGATACTGTGTCTCGTCTGGGAGACTCCTCTCAAGGTCATGGGGACATTGAAACGATGGCACAGGTATCCCATCTTGCTATGGCGTGGCTTCATGGTGTAAAGCTGGTCGGAGAAGTCTAGATCGGGTATGTTTTCCATGGGTCGTGCCGAGCCGAAGGAAGACCGCCGAGACAATGCCGCGCGTGCCAAGACCATTGATGACGTAAATCATCTCGACGTCAACTGTCATGTGAAGGCCAACTTGGATGCACTGCCACCGCCTTACGCCGCAAGGAAACGTCCCGACTCTTGCGATGATGAGATACCCGCCTCTCTCTTGAGTCGACAGCATCTCCATACACGAAAAAACAACGCGTCAGAGCAATGGCGTACCGGTGCTACACAAACGTTTATGGGGGCACCTACTGCCGTTCGACATGGGACCGCTGGGGAAGATGGGTACTGTTGGGAGTCCTCGTCGCCGCAGCAATCCTGGTATTCCTGATATCCGCGTATGTAATGCCAGTTTCGAAAGAAACAGACAATCATTCACATTCCCCCCAATGTATGCTGACCACCCTCCAAGATGTATCATGTCCCGAAGGCGTAGAAAGGCCGGCAAGACACCGCTCTACGGCACTGGATGGGTTCCAGGAAGTGGCAAACCAACCTACCCGCAACAGCAAAATACTTACGGCAACAATTATCAAATGGGTCAACAACAGTACCCGACTCAGTCGACCAACAACGCCCCTCCCCAGTACAACCAATCTGGTGGAGCCGCGAATGAGTACTACTCGAACGGCAATGTGAACAATCAATATGCGCAGCCAGGACAGTATCAACCTCCGGCGCAGCCGCCACCAGCGCATCAGAGGCCCACGGGATGGCAGTAGGAAAGTGAAAAAGAAGGGTGTAATGGTATGTGTTGGGCTCGGTGTGGTGCTATTTTGTTCCTTGGGTGGCTTCGGTGACGATCGAATTTCAAATTCAGTAATTGTGCGACTAAGAGTACAGAGCCGGCAAGGAAGGATCAGCAGACCAGACTATAAGCGATGCGGCGCACTTCCTACAATGCAATGCCAAAAAAAAAACCCCCCTCCGAAAACTTTGCTTGAGACATTTACTGAATTCCACGGAGAAGTACGCTCCAGTCCAAACGACAAACCCACGACTGCACGATTTATCAGAAGCACGTCCTCGAATCGAATCAGCAGCCCTCCAATCTATGCTCCTTTCCAGCCCCAACAGGCATAGACCCGATTGTGCATCCCTTCCACATATCCCGCAAAACACGTCTCATCACTCTCCCTCTGCATGCTCACAATCTCTTCCGGCCCAAGATCCTCTTGACAATAATATCCAATCGCCTTACGGTTGATCTCCGGAGCATACTTCTGGAAATACTCCCCCTGAGCCTTTGTCTCCGGTCTCGCGGGCCATGGATGTAGCACAAACGGATATCTCCTCATCCCGACATCGAGCAGTCCGGCATCGTTGAAGAGGGATTCCAATCTCTCTCCAACCCTCAGATCAATCCCGAAACGCTTGCACGCAGAGTCGTGGACTGCCTTCGGCCAATGCCAATCCCCATCAATCGGAACATCCATCGAATCAGCGGAATAGTGAACAAAAACGCTCGGTTCCTGGAATTCCATCCAACCGCCAGGAGCCAACAGCTCTTTACAGATCGCAAAGTGTTTCCTCCAATCCTGAACACCGGCAACAAGGAATCTTGCAAAAATCAAATCGAAGGTCCCGGTCTCCAAGCTCCCTGCCTCTACAGACTCGTCAAACCTCCCCTCCAAGTACCTCGCATTCTCCGGCTTCTCATGTATAGGCGGAACAGTAGCCTGGTCGATTCCAATAATCTGCGCATCGGGATATTCCTTCGCCAGTCTCACAGTCGTAGCTCCAGTCCCACATCCAATATCCAGAATCCTCCTCGGTGTCGAGGAGACTGGAGCGTGGATCAGTTTCCCCAACATCAGCTGCTCAAGCGCATGATGTTGGAGCTCCAGACGCTCGTGTTCAGCTTTCTGGGCGGGATCGAAAATGTATACTGCGCCATCTTTCGAGACGGTGGATTTGATGAAAGCATCGTTGATCGTGAACGGGCCAGAATTGGACATTGTGGAGGTGGCAGGAGAGGTTGGCAAAAAGTGCGAGGTGTTTCGGAAGAGAATGAAAAGACATCATCCTGCTGTCTGTGCAGTTGTGAGCGGGAGACTCGCTTGGGGGAGTAGTTGCAGGGGTCGCGTGTACGGCTGAAATGATCCATGTCATGGCTGGCCGCCTGAAGATAGCTGTTCCAATTGACGAGCGTCGTCAACAATGTCTGCAGGTGACAAAGGCGACCCAGCGAACATCATTCCTTGATAATTTTCATCCAGGGTATTAGAAGCCGCACGCTACAGCTGCCCCATATCATACAACTTTGCTACTTCTCGTAATAGCCAGATAAGGTGCTGTTCTATCCCTATTCCCGCTCTCGCTCGTAATCTTACATTCATCTTAGTGGCCATCTTGCTCCTTGCGTCCGTCGCCTTGAACGGCACCGCCGCTTTCGGCGCCCACGCCGGCCTCACGCATGGCTTGCTCGTCTCCGCGTAGTTTGGCAAAGTAAGCTTTGATGTCTTCGGCACCAACCGGTTGTCCACTCTCCGCAAATGGCTGCAGGAAGGCCTTGACCTTATCTCGTACGTGGTTATAGGCCATGACGCCTTCAATAGCACGGACACGGTCCATAGAGGACAGCGCTGCTTCTCCACGGTCAAGAAGAGATCCGCTGTGGACGCTTCGCCCGGCTACCGAGCCATTCTCATCGTGACCTGACTCCGATACTGGTGGTTCGTAGGTATCTTCCTCCTCCAGCAATTGCGGATGTCTGGCCAGGCGAGGAAAGCACTCTGGGCACCGGCAGAGATGGTCACGAAAGTCTTCCTTCACAAATACAGACACAGATTCACTCGATGCAGCCGGAAGCGATGCGTGCTTGGGCGACGTTGTCTCGTGTGGCTCGGTTGCAGCCGTCGTAGTTTCGGTAGTATCCACATCCGGCCTGGCCTTCTTATTGCTCTCCCGTGCATCCTCGGCTTCGTCCTCGGCTCTGCGCTTCTTGCTATCCTCTGTTGTCGTGGCCTCCTTCGTCTCGGCATGTCCGTTGGTCTGCGATACAGACCCAATGGAGGGAAGGGCAGGCAAGAAACCCGGTGTGCCGGCATACTGCTTGATCCATGGATATGCGTTGGCGCACTGGTAGCAGATGAGATTGTCGAAATCGTCCTCGTCGGGGAAGCCAAGTGGTGCCTCGTCTTCTGCAGGTTGCGCACTCACCCCAGTAGTCGTAGCAGGTTGCTGCACACCGTCCTCTCCCTCTTCCTTCACAGTCTCCAGCTGACCTTCATTCTCTTCTTTGGGTTGTTCCGTCTTCGGTACAGGCTGCTTCCTTGGCATGCCCATCAAGCATTCTGGATGCCACCAATCTTCTCCACAGCCCCCGTCTTCAACGTGTCCAAGTCCAAGACATTGAAACATTGTCCCTTTCTCCATCTCTGGATCATACTCCTCTCCACATCCACAGAACTTGCCCTCGAAGTTCTGGCTGTACTTGTTTCCAACACGGGCCTCTTCGCCCGACACGTCACCTTTGCGGCCAGTCTTGGGATTCAGTCGCAGGTTGCAGGAGATGCCGGCATTCTGCATCCTGGTTGTGCCACAGTCGCAGACGAAGTCGCGCTTGCTGAAGATCTCGACGAGATTGTGCTCGCCATGGCAGCTGATGGAGCAGGAGTAGCACACGCCCGCTGGCGTGAATTGTTGATGTGGTGATGCGGGCGGCGGTGTGCATGTGAGACAGGCGTACACCGATTGACGCAATGGGCCGAGAGGTTTGGTGCAAGTGTCAAACTGGTATGGGAGGGCCTCACGTGCGTCGGCCTCGAGGGAGAGTTGGGATGCGATGTACTCCTGTGCCGTTTGGGAGGTTTCCGAGGTCTGCGACATACTCGGGACGCGGTGCAGACCGTTGGCTGGAGGATCAGTGGAAGCCATCATGGGCTACGATGGCAGCAGAGCTAGGAGTTGATATTCGGAACACGAAGGAGTTGTGTTGTCGCTGGTGGTGACGATGATGGATCGCGAACTGGACGCGAACGCGACTGCTTCGCGATTGAGGTTTCGGGGAGACTGTTGATCCGATCCGAGAACGGCTCCTTCCCCGTTCGGCTTGCCATCACGGACCGACTAGAAAGCCCGTGCACATGCCAAGCCGATGTAAGTGAATGGCTGCTACCGCGACGTGTCCGTGGACGGAGGTCAGGACTACCTTACTCCTTCCAATCAGGCGCACCGCCGCAGAAGTCTTTCTTTCCCCGCTAGCGAGGGCTTATGTTGCTCGTCGCAAGGGAGGGGCAAGCAAGCTGGCGAGCGGTCTGTATGGAGACTCTCTCCACTCAAGCTCGCTGTCGATGTTCGCGTCGCTGCAGAGACTGGCCCACAACATGCCTAACCGAATATAGAAAGTGGGTGTAGAAGAAAGTCACGAAGCAGCGCGTCTGAGAAGGAGGCGGTACGGAGATTGGGTCCAGGATCGTGACATTACATTCTGGTGTGGAGCAAGACCGGTTGTCTTGAAAGGCAGAATGATACAATAAGTACACGAAATATCGAACTCCGATCCCTTTTACTGCCCAAACTCCCGCAAGTCCTTGACTTTCTTCGGTCCTTGTCCCTCGTCCCGATACAGACCATCCACAATCGGGTCTCTCTCCTGTCTTCCATTCACAGGCAGCTCATTCAAGAAATGCCAATGCATCGCCTCCTTGTATCCCTCCGCCTTCCAATCATTGATCGTGCCATCTGGGAAGAACTTCAGCGAGTCTTTCGGCGCGGCATCGTGTGCGATGATCATCAATACGTTCGGGTCTGCGTCGAATTGCAACAAATGATGGATGCTTTCCATTGCTGTCCTCGGATCCTCATACCAGCTGCCGTACGGCCCGCCGGTAGAGCATCGATAGAATGCTTTTGTGCGGCTATTCGCCTGGTCTGGGTGACAGTCCGTAAAGATCGAACAGGGACATGGCGAAGGCAATCTTTTGTCGAGAACAGTCCGGGCTGGAATTGCATCTGGAAGCGGAATGTATTCGGATGGTCGTATCACGCCGGTGAAGTGGCATGCGTCGCCGCCCATGAAGATAAAGGTATGCGGCGTGGTCCGAGCAAGAGCTGAGATATGACCTGTTGTATGCCCTGACACGGAGATCAGTGGAATTCGACTACGACCTTTCCAATATACGCCGCACTCACCTGGCACATTCAACACGTAAAAGCTCGCGTCACCGAAGTAGTCGTATGCCTGGAATCCCCCGATCTTCACTTCGTCGCTGAAAGGTGGTTCGATGAAATTACGGCCTTCGAAATCAGCTTCATGGAAAGCCGAGTCTTTGTTGGCGGGCCATCCTGGTTCGAATCTCTTCTTGAAACCAGGTCCAACGACCACATCCGTTGATTTGGCCAGTCGGGCGAGGTTCCCTGAATGGTCGTAGTGCCAGTGGCTGAGAACAAGAGCCTTGATGTCGCCCGGATCAACTCCTCCATCCTTGACGATATCTGATCCCGAGGTCGTTAGCCAAAAGCGTCCAAGATCGAACTCTCTCCCGCTCACCAATGACTTCTTTCTCGACTTTGAGCCCCGGTATGCGATGGCTCACCGTATCGACCACAGATGGCACCAGGTTCTGCCAGTCTGTTCGACAGCCCAGGTCAAAGAGGATTTGCTCTCCTGATCTCTCGTTTCTAACGTGGAACGCGTAGGTAGGGAGATTCAACCAGGTATGTCCATCGATCTGTGGCTCGACTAAGCTGCAATGGCTGTTTAGCTGCTGGGTCGCAAACGTTTCCCTTGGGTCCGGGAGGCTTACGTAGAAGGAGGAACTACGATATCGCATGTGCTGTTGATGATTGAAACATCACACACATCTTCCCCTTCTGGAAGGTTGATAGATGGAGCGGGTCTGGCTTGCGGCTGGTTCGACATGTTCCCTGAGGCTATCCAGGAAGACAGATACCTTGTTGGTTAACCTTCTCCATTCAAACACAGAGACCGATGCCACAGAGCGGAGTCGTTGGCATCCCCGCTTCCCGATGCTCATCGTGACCCTCACTGTGACGCGAGCTCTCCAGCTGGATCAGCCCCCGCACATTTCGCATTGCCCGCAGCTTGTAGTAGCTCAGGTATGTGGTGACACTGCAGACGAAGCTTTCGGTGTCGCATTAAAGGTTCGCAGTCTTGTTCGCGATCTGACGTGCTTGGCAAGAGAGGGCGTAGAATTGGTTTGGAATTGGTTCGTGGCGCGGTATCCCCATAACTCGGCCGCTTCGCTGCTAGAAAGTATGTTGACCAGTCGCCAGATAGCAGATCCCCTCCCCTCATGCGCCTTGCGTTAATCCTGTTGCTGGTCCATTTGGTCAGAGTATGCCGGTCTTGGAAGCTTACCTGAGGTCTTCTCCGCATAGTACAGTCCCCTTCCGTCAGAAGATAGCATCCCTCATTGGCGTTCCTAATCGCTCTTGCACCTATCAACGACGTTACGTTGGAGTTAAGTGAGATCATCCGCAAAGCGGCAAATGTCAGACAAGATCATTGATACATCGTGCCCTACCTACGCCATCCGCAAAAAGCACCATCAAGCTCCCCGCCATTGTGTCAACCACTTCCTCATCACAGGAGCATCCACGGCCTCCATGGTCCTGACAGTCTCGCTCATCTTCTGTGTCTCTTTGGTTGCAAGAGGCGGCAGTCCTCCGCCCTCGGTCAACAAGCCTTCGTAGAAATCGATCAACTTGATTCCCGGCTTCTTCTCAATTTCCTCGGGAGTCTGAGGCGCCTTCTTCAACTCATCCAGCCAGGTTCTGAATGACACTACCTGTATCTCCTTCCCGGTCTCTTGTGCCAATGAGTCTTCGACATGAGGAACCAGGTCGCTCCAGCTCACAGTGTGCGGATTCACGAGGTGCGCGACAGCCAGAGCTTCATCCTGCTGAGCTCTCGTTTCTGCAATGTCGACGACAGACTTCGCAGCGAGGTCCATAGGCACCCAGTCAACAACGTCTTGGTTGCCCAGTCGTTGAGGCACCATGCCGAGAGCCTTGGAGGAGATGACAATACTTGGCAGCCATTCGTGTCGATTCCAGGGCGCCCCGTCGCCTTTGGGGCCAGCCAATTGTCCAGCACGGATCACGGTGGCTGGCACGCCAGCGTCTCTGGCAGCATTAGCCAAGATGAGTGATGCTACATGCTTTGATTCTCCGTAGCCTTGCGGGAGAGGCACACTGTGATCTTCGAAGATTTGCTCGGGTACCTCTTTATCCTCGGGATGGGAGACCGGGTATGCCCCAACGCTGGCGATCGAGGAGATGAATACAATCTGTGTTCTGTACTTGGAATCAAGACTGAAGTCGACGCATCGACGTGTACCTGCAACATGTACACCCTCATATGTCTGGAGCGTCTTGTTGAAGTTGACCGCCCAAGCGCTGTGAATGAAGATGTCGACCGAGCGGAGGAGTCGCTCGTAGATCTCGTGGGAAAGGCCAAAGCGGTCTTGGCCAAAGTCGGCCTGCAAGAAAGTGGCTTTGGAGAAGTCGGCGGACAGCCCGCGGTCCTGGAAGCTTTGTCGTTGGCGAGCCTCGGCGTCTGCTGAGCGGTTGAGGCAGTACACGTGTCCGACTTGAGGTGAGACTAATAGGTCCTGAAGGATGTAATTTCCCAGTGATCCGGTTGTTCCTGTTACGATGTAGGTGTGCCGCTCGGCCCTCTCCTTCGGGCCAGAAGCACGTCGTGATGACAAGTCATGGGTGTACTTCTCAACCATCTTCGCCATCGCTTCTTCTCTGCTCAGCGCAGGTGTAGCATCGCCAGACTGAGGGCCTCGGAGAAGGCCTGCGAGCGCTGCAATGGATGGGTGGCCATAGATGTCTCTTGGAGCAACAGTCGTGCCAGTCGCATGACTCAATGTTGAAGACAGAGCGAGCACTTGCAGAGAATCCATACCGAAGCTGAAGAGATCTTGGTCGTCGCTTGCCGAGTCTGGAATCTCAACCCCCTTCGCTTTGAATACGTTCCGTACAAATGTGAGAGCGGTGTCGAGATCGGCATCAGGCTGTAGTCGGCCGAGGTCATCGTCGCTAGCTTCGTTGGCGTAGATGGCATCTATCTCGGGTTTGTACAAATCCGTGGTTTGTCGTCGGTTGATAGACCCTTTCGGTGACCGTTTGAAGGGCTTGTCCCGCTTCGCAATGGCCACCTTCGATCGCCACACTCTGCCGTGCGCTGGACTTGCCGCGTTTGCTTCTTCGATCAGTGGCCAGAATTCATCAAGCAGCTGCTCGGGTCCTGTGCCGTGCGGGACAAGCGACCATTCGGGCTCAATAATCAGACCGGTCTGGAAGCGTGCTTGGCCCACAACCAATGCTCCTTTGATCAGTGCGTTGCTTTCCAGCGTCTTTTCAAATCCGACCGGGTTGAACTTTTCGCCGTTGCTCAAAACAAGCACATCATCCTTCCGACCTTTGTAGAACCACAGGTTCTTGTTGTTGGGGTGACGCTCGAACAAGTCCTTGGTGCGCCATTCCGAGATCCCCGGAAATGTATGGAAGATTCCTTGGAACCTGCGATCGGCCGGCTTAATGACACACTCGTACAGCGCATCGCTGTCTTGCTCTGGCTCCATGTCGATACCTGAGCCTGGTGCCCATTCAAACGCCCTCCATTCATGTCTGTCTTCCGGCATCCGACATGGCATCAGACCAGCCTCCGTTGAACCAATTACTGGAAGGAGGTGAGTGACGTGCGTAACCTTGTTCCCGATGCCAAGAGCCAGTGGTCCACCTCCGTAGAAACAGTATTCGAGTGTTCCCAAGGCCTCCATGCCTCTCGGTGCTTCGGCAATCTCCTCCAGAACTGACGGAGGGAAGATGGCACATGAAGGCTTGGTCTGCTTAATGACCTCGATGACAAGGTCCGCCATCACTGGCTTCTCTGGCGGCGGAGCTACGAGAGGTGCACGGCAATGGATCGTGCGCCACAAAATGGCTTGGCCCATCATGTGAAAGAAGGGTGCGGTGGTCAGAAGCAGCCTGTCGGACTCCAGGTATGGGTCTTGAACATTGCGCCGTCCCTGCGGCTTGTACAGGGCCTTGGCTGCAGTGACCGTACTAATGCTCGTATGGGTATGGTATATGGGCTTTGGAAGACCAGTGCTTCCACTCGTGTGCAATATGAGGACTTCATTGTCATCCCGATCGCCGGGTGGTCCTTGGTAAGGATGATCGGCGTCTCGGCCTTGCTGCTCCAGCTCCTCAAATGAAGGAATCTGTTTGGTTCGCACATCTGGAAGTGCGGATTTGATGCTGTCGATATGGGTATCCACTCCTTGACTGTGTATGAGGATGTTGCATTTTGTTGTCTTGAAGAGCGAAGCCTGTCCCTCCTGGGAGTTACGGGGCGACGGTAGCAAGGCCTGTAAATTGTTAGCAGGCACGCCAGTACCCATCAAGTGCTGTAAACGAACCTTGTATCCTGCCTTCATGAGAGCGATCTCGGTGACTAAATATCTCGAGTCATTGATACTTCATGAATGTCAGCACTGGCGCTCTGGTCGCAGCGAATTATGTGGTATACATACCCCATGTACGCTGCCACGTCGATGTTCCTCTGGCCAGCGCCGAACTCAGCCTCAATCCATCGACACATGCCATCTACAGCGTTCGCGAGATGGCGATATGTGATGCTTCGCCATCCATGTTTAAGATCCTCATCATTTGGTACAAGGAGCAATGTTTGGTCGGGGTAATCTCTCGAAAGCTCCTCGAGAGTGTCGGGCAGTCTTCTAGTCTTCGCGTAAACGGAATTGGTGTCGCAGATTTCCGTCATGGTGGAATGTTGTTAGTGGGAGAGCGTTATGCTGGATGTAGAAGGTGATAGTAGGTCGTGGTAGGTGGAAGACCAACCTTTATATCATCCATCACCTCGACGCCTCTAGACACAGGATCCTTGGGATAGGAGCCAAACCACAATTCGGCGGAGGCAACGCGGCGACGGCCCGTCATCAGACAGTAGTCTCCGAGTAGGAGCCGCAATAGTTGATCTTGAAACGACAATTTGTCGCAGGCAACGCGTCGACGGCCCGTCATCAGACATTAGTCTCCGCGTAGAAGCCGCAATAGTTGATCTTGAAGTTCCGTACTTGTGCACGAGAGCACGCCAGACGGGCTTGGATGGGTATGCACAAGCGCGTGTCCAGCATCGTTGGGGTTGCACAACTGCTGAACGTCCTCGGCCCGATGTCGTCACTCAATCAGAATCGCATCGAAAAGTAGGTAGAAAGTTCTGCATTGGGATGACTTCACATGGCAATATCTGCAGCTCGCAACATTGCTCAAGGCCGAGGGCGAATCGGTGTGGGTGCGGTGGGGGCGTCTGCTGTGCGTGCCAGTGGAAGCCGTTGCAAAGAAGCCTTTTGGACAAGCTTTCACGAAAGTCCCTTTCGCCGGCCCGCCATGAAATCGGGCGGTGACCCTCCTGTCGATCGAAAGATGCTGTACCGTTGACCGGCGGTGAAAGAAGACCGCACGCCGTAGCACGCCGTAACACGGCCTTATGCGTCACTCTCAGGCTCGGGCTTGTCTCGCTCGTGCAAGGGTGGGCCACGCAGTCGGTGTCTCAGATCTCGGCCTGACAGCCCGACAGACGCCGAGTCCGGGATGGACTTTCGGTTCATGAGCCGGTTGATCTGCTCGACATAAGTTTGTACTCAGACATCCTTTGCGAAGACGTCTGAAGTTCTCTTGCTCGTCGGCCTGGCGAGCAAAGCGCAAAGACGACTCGTGGCAAATGGCATATGAAGCGGCCGTCATCGAACAAGGCTCGACTGGCCGACTGAGAAATGGATGAGCAGCTAAAAGAACGTGTTATCTTAAGGCTTTGAGGCATTTAGGAGAAGGTCCTCTCAAGTCGTCGTCTCCGATATCGAGGCGTGGTGTTCGGCTCGCCCGTGTTCAGGACCGCCGACCAGCCTTGGAGCTACCGCGTCAATCTACCACTAGGCTGAGACGGCGTTGGATGGTGATGTTGGTGAAAGATGGATGGATGGATGGATGGATGGATGGATGGATGGAATGGGAGGGAGAGGAAGACAAACAGATGAGGTGCACTCATGACGCCTAAGGTTAGGCTTTGACAGTCGTGGACTTAGGCCTAAATTCGATGGCCGCCCATCAAAACTTGATTATCGCCCCGTTCTTACGGAGGGCGAGTCAGTAGCACTACCTGATTAGTGTCCTCACCGACTCGACAACTTGGAAGTCGCTAGTGTCAGTAGCGTCAGTGCCCTCGGCCGTAACGGCGGGTACCTAAAGTGGTGGTGAAAACTCCACAAAAGCTGTGAAAGCAACCTAAGCCTAGTTATGTATCAGGTTGTATAAGGTACAGCTGCCTTATTACTGCCCTTCAGGAAGCTGCCTAGAGACTAGAGCCAGCTGTTGGACTTTCCAATCCCGGTCTTCCCCTCATCAGGCGCTTCCCTTCCCCGACACTCCAGCTCCTTCCATGTTGCCAGGTTGTTTTTAGTTTTTAGGGATCGACAGCCAACCACCACACACCCTTGTCTAGTGCCGGACGGGCGCGGCAGGGTCGGGCGGACGGACGGATCGGCTCGGATGCTGTAGCCCCTACTTCGCCTCGCCTCGCCACGCCACCGTCGCTCATCAGGGAGTTGCTCTGCGCACCTCTCAGTGATGCGATCGTACCCTCTGTTGCGCAATTTGGGAGGAAAATCGAGAAGTCCGCAGTTCTCGTCCGGTCGGATGACGGCCGCCATATTTAGTATTGTATTGTACCGCTTCGCCTCGACAGCACAAATCTGTGGAACCAAGTTGCTTCAGCCGAGCATTCTGCATGATTGGCACAATTTGAAATCCGAGATATTCCCTTGTGTACCTAGTAGTCTATTTGAGATGCTGATCCAGTTCAATGTCCTTCAAGTGCATCCTTCACGCCCATCGTCCCCTGGCACTCGGCCAAGATGCGTGCCTGTCTTGCGACTTCCTCGAGTTGGCTAATGACCTTCCCATTGCCCTCTGCGAATCCATAGATTGCGTACGGAATGCCAACTTCGTTGCAGAAATCAATGACCAGCTTCTGAGCTCGTCTCAGGTTGTGTCTTGGCATGCGCGGGTACAGGTGGTGGACTGCTTGGAATTGAAGACCACCATGGAAGAAGTCAAGCCATTCGGGGCAGTCGACGTCCATGGTCGTCCGCAGCATGCGTTGCGGGAATGACTCTGCGACACCCAGGTCGGCAGTGCTCATGGCGAAATGAGACAGCGTGATCTGTACATGCACCGGCATCGTCACGGCGTGGCTGATCCAGACGAAGAGGATGCGATCCCAAGCAGTGGGTATCGACTTGTAGACCGTGAGATAGCCGAACCAATACCAAAAGAAGATCTGTCCTGCAGCCTCGAAGTAGCGGTGCCACCATGCAGGTCCCTTGCGCGGACCTTGGCCCATGATGATGTACTGCCAGCTAAGGGCGTAGAGATTGAAGCGCCCAAACGTGAGGATGGGATAGTAGAGATAGTGCTGGTAGCGCAGCACGAACTTGGCAACTGGGTCGTAAGTCATGATTCTATCGTAATAGGTGCTTCGAAGGCTCTCGAAGAAGCGATGGCTGATGGCGAAGAACGGCATGTGCTGGATGTCGGGATCGTGTTCAGCGCTGTTGGTGACGATATGATGGACATTGTGATTCTGTTTCCACCAGCAGCAGGAAAGACCTCCAATCCAGTTGGCGATGACCATTCCAATAACGCTGTCCACATGGAAGTTATGCGTGATGCCCATGTGGCCTGCATCATGGACGGTGAAGACGAGCTGATGCCACATCATGCCAGTGAACAGTCCAGCGAGAGCGTAATGGCCTGTGCGGAGGAAGAAGAATGCGAGAGCGCCTAGAGCTGCATAGCGGCATATCTCAATCGCGTAGGCCCAGTAGTTGCAATCGTAGAGTCCCTCCGCGTGTAGTCGCTCATCGAGCTGTTTGTACTTAGTAACGATGTTTGCTTGAGTGGCTGGATCCAAACTTGGGAAGACTTCAAGATCGTGCTGGATTTCTTGTTGTGTCCTCTCTTTCGTGGAGTATCTCTTTGGGTCGACGATGGGGTCGCCGATGGCGAGCGTGTCAAGCGACGTGGCAGACGAGTCGCTTGCAGCATCGTCGCTGGCACGCCTCCTGCGAAGAGACGAGCGGTGATCTGCTGGATCAAAGATCGGAGATGGCTCACCCGAGCTCTCCTGGCCCGATGAGTCCTGCTCGGCTTCTCCTCCCATTGTACACGTAGTCTCTCGCTCCTCTTTCGATCGGAAGATGCCTCCTTGGATTGGGGGCACAAAGTCGAGCCACTGGCCCTCGTATCTGCCAATCTGGTATCTCCTCATGAACTGTCGGGTCTCAATGGAGTGAAATGCCTTGACCTCGTTGCTAGCGTCTCTTCCGACCATGTGCAGAATGGCCTTGCTACCACCTGGGTGAAAGGGTAGCCATGCGTCGACTTTCAGCACTTTGCCGTCGACAAGCACCACTTTCCGTCCCTCTGCTATCAACGCTTCGATGTCGCCACGGGAAAGGAGGGTGTCTCGAGATCGGCTCGTCTTTGGCGTACCCATCGTGGCAGAACGGGAATGACTGTGAGTATGGGTGGATAGACAGGGCAGTTCTCAGTCGAGCATTGCTGGAGAGGGCAGTCCAGGTGAATGTCAACGGGAGGCACAAGAGCTACCCTGACTGGTAGAGAAAGAGGTGGACCCTGCATGATGTGGAGTTTCGCTCGGATAAGACGCACTTCCACCGCCTTCCATTCCGAATGATCGTGGATTCTGCCACCGAGCTCAGGCAACAAGCTCCAGAGCATCCGGCACTACTCAACTCACAACTCGCACCAACAACAACAACTCGCGACCTTCTCCATCATCCGAATCACTCCAACACGACTCCGGTCGCTTTCAGGATTGCAGCTCCGAGCATGATCGTCCCCAATCGGTAACAGAAACCCAGACATACCTCTCGTCTCCATCCGACAACGCCCCGCCGACTTCATTCACCATGGCCGAGTTGATGGCGCGACTGCTCGCCTTTCCGCCGGACAAGAAGAACATCAGCCCGAAAGAGTACGACACCAAGGCGCGCGAGTATGTGAAAGATTTGTGGAAGCTCTCTGAGAAGGACCTGAACAAGGAGGTTGATAAGAAGAATGTCCTCGAGCTTCTCAATCCGGCTGTGAACTCGATCGCATACGCCGCCGCGCTCTATATCCAGCTGGATCTGAACTCCAAGAACAAGCAAAAGTCCGCTCAACTAACCGAGCTCCTCGCCATCTTCCTGTCCGAATTCGATCCGATACAAGTGCGATTCATCGGGGAAACATGGCACAGCTTGTTTTTGACCGCCGCGAACGCTGTGGAGCAAGGCGCATTCGACTTCTCCCTGCTCGTCAGTGCACTGCTCAGGCTTGATCCTACTGCCGGCACATTCACCGACCTCCACCTCGAGCTCGTACGGCTGGCCCTCGCCAAGGGTGTTTCTAGCCAGGTACTTCCGATTCTCGACAAGGACATCTACGCTTTCCCGCAGAAATCCGTGAAGAACGTGCAGGAAGACTTTTTGAGCGAGGAGCATGAGTTCAGCAATGCATACATCACCGAGAAGTCGGGCTTCACGGATAAGCTGTCATCAGACAACGTTCTCGAGTACTATCTGCTGGGTGCACACATCTACATCGGCCGCCGGGATTTCAGCCGAGCGCGCTTATTTCTGGAATATGTCTTGCTTTCACCGACCCAAGCCCACTCCGCGAGCGCTCTGCAGGTTGAGGCGTACAAGAAGTGGGTATTGATTGGGTTACTGTCGGAAGGCAGACCATTGCCACTCCCGAAGACTTTCGATCAGGTCATTGTCAAGAACATCCGGGCGCTGGCGAAGATGTACGACTCTTTGGCGGACTCCTTCGAGAAGCGGGATTACAGAAAGTTCGAGGCGGAGATGCAAATGGGAGAGGCCGTGTGGGAGGACGATGGTAACATCCGTCTGGTCACTGAGGCCAGCAGTGCGCTCCTGCGCTTCCGCGTCATCGACTTGCAGAAGACATATGCTGCACTGCCCGTGTCTCGCGTTTCTCACTTGATCGACCTGCCTGCCGATACTACCGCGCAACTGCTCACAGACATGATCAGCCGTGGTTACCTCAACGCCAGCATTGCAAGCTCTGGCGCCGGCGCCGTGCTACGGTTTCACGACACGTTGTCATATCCCACCGCCGCGGTGGACGGAGACCTGGAGAGCCACACCGCGCGGGTTCAAGCGCTGGTGGGTTTCGTTCGCGACGCCGACTACCGACTGCAGCTCACGAAGGAATACGTGGACACGATGAAACGCGCGAAGCGTCAAGGTCCCGATAGTGATCTCGCGGAGGCCATGGATCTCAGTTGGGAGCAGCCGATGGTGCCAGATGATGAAGACGGCGACGAGGACATAATGGGACCGTAGGATGGCATGATGCGGGAAATGTACAAGCAGTGCAGGGACGCCGGGACGGTTTCACCAATCGATGGACACCACTGGAGCGGAGGAGAGATCGAGACGTCGATCGTAGCAATAAGCATTGTGAAATTTAGCGATGGAGTTGCATTGTGCTTTGGACGAAACGACGGGATGAGGCACGCTTCTAGATTTGCACCGCTGCTGCTGTGGAAAAGCTTCTTGCGTGAGCACGGCACATGAGATATTGCTCCGATAGACACGACTGAAAACAGATAGTCGTCTGGAGTCCATTCAACGTCTTGTGACTAGCTTCTCCCCCAACAGTTTCCTCCGCCCTTCGAGCTCTCCTTTAGTCTGAACAGGCGGAGCTCGTAGGGCAGCATCGGTCCACTGACGGCGACCATCCTAGGGATGCGTATACTTTCGCTATCTTTGAGTCGTTAAGTCTTTGGATCGGCCTCCTCTAACGGTCGGATGTTCACTTCTCCAACTCCTACGGCAAGTGGCTGATAGTGAGAGTCTTATACACGTACGGTGTCCGAGCGCGGTATACTATGAATAGGTATAAATGCGAGTCCCGAATAATCCACATACTTTACCTATTTTAAAATAGTCAAAGAGGTAGGCCTATAGTCTACATAGTTATCGTCTGGTAGGGCTGACTTGTTAGGTACGGATATAAGACGTCTACTTACGTACGCTTACTCTGATATATTTCTATATCTGATTATCCACCTCACCCCTTGAAATCGAGATGGATATACACACTACACATATCCTGAATGCTTCTAACTATTGAGAATTGGACGTATCAATCTGCCTGCCGAACTCCGTCTGCCCTTTCCCCCACTACTCAGCGCCCGCCAACGATGCATACGCCACACGAGACAAGCCTCAAGGGTAAACGGGCAGCTGACTACCTACCTAACAACTCACTGCTCCTACGCCACCGTGGAACTGCATATCGAGATCGAACAAGAATCCAAAGTTCGGATCCGTGGCTTGACCCAGATATGACCATTCGGCGTAGGTCTGGGGTATGGGCCCGGAAGCGTAGTCTTGCCAGGTGTCTGCGGCATCTTGCTTGCGATCCTCGTCTGGCACGCCTCGGAGCCGGATGTTGTGGACCGATTCCGGGCACGTGAGGATGGATGGATCGAGGCCAGCCAGTTCCCAGGCTCTGCGCATGCGTCAGCTGTGGTCTACAAGGCTTGGGGGTGGGATAAGTCATACCTATCTCGAGCTCGTCGGAGGAATCTCCACGCCTGTCTCCCTCCACTGTGCAGCGGCCTCGGGTCCGGATTGCCATCTTCATGAGACACAATGCCGCAGTCATCGGATCCGATGCACTTGTAGATCGCCAGATCGACGAGTCGCCTGGTCTCCTGCGCTTCGGGATCGTCTGGATCGTCTTCAAGGTCCGAGATCAACGCCATGATGCTGTGGAGTGGCTGGTGTTGCCCGGGCCAGCACCAATGCCAGGGCTGAAAGTCGCTCCTCTCGGCCAGTCGGAGGAAACGGTGGACATATTCGCGGCAGTACACGATGACACTGGCAGGCTCGTTAGCGTCAGCGAGAGCGACGGCGGAACTGCTCGAACTCACTTCGGCTCCTTCTTGCGAAGCACAGGCAAGAGGTCATGCCTTCTCATGGGACCGTACATGACCGAGTATGGCTTTGCCGCCCAGAGCGCGAACAGCATCCGCGCGAAATGCGCGAGCGCAGCGTTGGACTCGGTATGACGGATAGCATCGATGTCGCTGCCATCATACGATTCCTGCTTCGGATGCAGCCTCTCGATCGAGTCGATCTGGCTTCTCCGGCATTCCATGTCCTTTTTGACCTCACGCGTGATCTCCAACATTCGATCCAGACCTTTTTCGGAAAGAAGACTGCTGTGGAGCAAGTGCAAGATTTCATTACCCATCTTGTAGAAAGCGAATCGTCCACCGATGAAGATGCCGAGTATGGATTTGCTTGCATTGCCATGGGGTTCCAAGTCTTCTCTGATAGCTGCGGCACTGAGCTCGCTGACGGGCAACACGTCGTACAATCGACAGTCAATGATGGGGGGCAAGCCGGACGCGAATGCCACCTGTGCGTCGATTGCAACTACGGACCACCAAATCTGGCGGCGAACGTGCACATCCACCGGAGAGAAATGACCAAAGGTCGTTGGCTCCTTGTGTAGACCTGTCGCACGATCAGCCACGTGTAAGACACCGGGGCGAAAGAGGGCCTCCAAGTACCGAGCATCTGCGCCACCCTGACACAAACACCGATGAAAGAACAGCAGGTCAACGGCTGTTCCTCTCGGAGCCAAGTGGAGTCCACAATGATGAAGGCCGATAAGGACTGTAGTGACGGTGACTGAGGGAAATCGGAGAGGCGGATCGCGCGTACTGCCCGGCGATAGAGACGTGTTGTCAGGGCCTCTCTTGTTACATCTCCACCAAACACCGTTGAGAGCCTGTACCGTGGACACACAACCGAGCCAGCGAACGTCACGGCTGTCAGAAGGCATAGGAAGTGAACACTCAGTACATAGTTCGGATCTCGATTGTCAAGCCTGGCCTGTGTCAGTGCTGAACATCCGATGGCGCGTACTGTCTGTCTGTCCATCCGCCACGACGTACCAACGCTGAAATTTCCGCACCTGCACCAGAAACGAAGGCGCGTGAAATAGCGATCGTTTCGCGTGGAACCCACCTACATACGACCAGATCAAGACCTCGCACTGCTCCTTGGACGGTAGACCAGCCAGTATCTCTTCAATCGAGGGCGCCTGAGAGGTCACGAGCGTATTGTCCTGCGGAGTCCCAGCCGGCATGTTTGGGGAGAAATCGCCATAGAGCTCTCGTTCCCGCTCGAGTCCTCCGCTCTCCGTACTACCATCGCATGTGCTTCCTGATGCAAAGCGTGGAGATGTCAGTGGAGGTGAAGCGGGAAAAGTCTGCCTAGTCCCACCTCGCATTTGCGGCTCTCGGGAGTAGCCTTTCTGGTCGCGGAGCAAGTCATTGATGGCAGCGACCTTGGAGACGAGTCAGTGTTGGCTCCCAGCAGCAAGACGTCAGAGCATCACTCGACGGCGCGTGGCCATGGTCCTCGAGGCGGACCAGGAGTCCGACGACGTACCTCTTGACTGATGAGTGCAAAGTGCGCGCTGGATATGTAATGGCCTTTGGTATGCGGTCCCACATAGAGATGTCCCGCATCCCGACTTGGGGTCTTGGAGTCTCGAATGGGCGTGGGTGCGATCAGTGGGTCTACCGGCCTCGATTCTTCTGGCGGAGTACCTAGTTCGGGGAATCAGCACAGGTGGGTGGCTATGGGGACATCGAGGACCGCCTGTTCTGGCTACAGACTCGTCTGCTGTGGAACATGCGCCGCGGCCGCCGCTCGCGTAAGATCGTAGAGTCGACTGGCTCTCGAGGCCAGCGTTGGCGTTTCGTCTGCGAGCGAGTCAGCGTGTGCGTTCTGGGCACATGGGGACTTTACAACTGTCGGCATCTTACCGATCATCGTGATCGATGCCGGTGGCGAACGCACGGCGGCGTACGAGCATTCGATGCCCGCTCGAGCGCATCTTCCACATATGGGTCGTGTCTGCCGACGATCAGGAGTCAGTACAAACAACGCCTCTCCCCACTGAAGGATCCTCCCCAAAGGAACAAGAAGAAGGGGAGGAGCTCGAATGACCTTATCGCAGCCAACTTTTCTGCGTCCGCACGGCACGCAGGACCTTGGCGCTCGAGGCCGAGAGGGCCTGGAGACTTTGGCGGTTGACGACATACGACGGGTATTTGGGGCGCACACGCACACATGCGCACGCATATAAGGGGACAATTATTATCACTACTATCCGAGCGCGAGAGCCTAGCGACACCGCAAGCCGTTCCTTCTAGAAAGCGCGCAGAAAGGACCCGTGCCCGGCGCGACTGGTGTGCAATTCGAAGGGACGGTGAGCTGACTGGGAGGGAAGCGCACCGGTCTGAGCTCGAGACAAGGAGCAGACGAGCTTTCCGGGAGCTTTCCGGGGTATCATTCCAAGGGTATCCCATGTCTTTCATAGCGCGTGAGTGTCATGTGGAAGCACGATCCGTCCGCGCTGCTCGATAGACTCTGCTTCCAGTCCAAGTCCCGAATCATACTCATCCCCACCACCCATCATGTTTGCGAACATTCCGACTCCGACTCCACCTCTCATTTCGCCGGCCCATGTGGCTGCCCATGCGTGTTGCTGCGATGGGTGCTGATGCTGGTGCTGGTGCTGTTGCTGTTGCCGGTACCCGTTATCCTTGTTACTACTCTCGTGCTCACCACCTCTTGCCCGGCTGTCTCCCGGCGGCGACTGAGGCGTCCTGATGACCGTCGTGGTCGGCGAGCCCATGTCCACGGAAGCCACGGGGCTCCATGCGCTCGTCGGATGGTGCCAGGAGGTCGACGCTGGTACACTAGCCAAGCCGCCGCTGGTGGGCGATCCTGATCCCGTTGCCGCTGGGTATCCCGTGGGGAAGCTGTGTCTGTGAGGCAGGAAGGCCGGTGGCTGCGTGTACCGCGAATAGTCGAATGAGCCAAAGGCTCCAGGCACGAAGCTCCCCGGTGCTGATGTAGGGATTCTGGAAGCCGCCGAGGGGCTGAGATCTTGCGTGGATGGTAAGCACGGCCCGTACATTGAGGCTAAAGTGGGCGACCCGGATGAGGAGGCCTCAGGTTGCCCATGCAGCGATTGACTCGGTAGCTGGAGATTGAGCCTGTTCTTCGACACACCTGTCGCATTGTTTGCCGCACTACTAAATTGGGACTGCGCATGCATCGACAGGCGGTGGCCGTGGGATTGGCTGCGCGGGTCCAGCTTCAGACCGCGCAACGCTGTCAGAAGATCCTGGGCTTGAGGCTTTTCCGGGAGCGGTGGGACCGTCTTGATATTGGATTCTTTCAGCAAGCGGTACAGCGTGAGAAGCCCTGTGGACAGCTGCTCTTGCTGTTCTTCGAGATACTCAACATACTCTCGGGGATACGGAACGGTGTAGTGCCAATCGCTGGAAGTGGCGTCAGAATCAATGCGGTAGGAAAAGACGCTGTTGTGAATGACCTCACCTGAAATAGCATGCCGAATGACTTTCTTTGCATCGCAGGCACGGATTTCCGCCATCACATGTGCGCTTCTTTGCTCGACATCTCACACACGCCTTCTCCGCCCGTCCCTTCAGAGTCTTCCGGACTCTGTCCAGCTGTGGTCGGCCGTCGTGCTCCGCCTGGTCACGTTTCATCATGCAACCAGCCGCCGAGCTTTCGCAAGGCAGTCTTGACCGTCGACGATGCTGCTTGCTGCGAGGAGGAATCCAGACTCATGCGGCCACCAAGCAGCGGCGTCGATTGTTCTGCAGGCGCAAACGGTTCCATGATGACCAGGAGGCAGCATGCCGCTTATTTGAGAGGACATAGCGGTTGCGCGCCAGCCGTCATGGCAGTGTGTCGTCGAAGGGGTGAAATTGGAGTATTTGAGGATGGAGAGTCGGGCCCGAAGGCTCACGCCCGAACACTCCAATCGACGCGATCCGATGTCGAAGGAACTCGGACTGGCCGGTCGATCGAGATTGATCTCGGGATTGCTTGTTAGCCGCAGAGGTGTTGTCATTGGTCACTGGGAAGGGGACACGAAGCTGAGCAGCATGCAGGCCGGGAGGGTGCCCTGCAGGTCGGTTCAGCATGCTTGCCTTCTAGAAGCCTTCCTTTCAGATGGCGTGGAGAAGGTTCGGCGTGAGGCAAGCGTCGTTCTCAACGCATACTGGCTGAAGTGAAGGCGCCAGCATCGCGTTATCTCGTAGCCTCGTAGGGCCAGTCGCGATCTGGACTTCAGCTCGGGCGGACTCCAGATCGCGGGTCTAGCTGCGCGCCCGAGCGATGGCCTCGGGGAGATATTCGAGATTTCAAGACATCCTGCAGACAAAGACCGAGATGATGGATACATGGCACAAATGGCATTATGCTGTCGCGTCATCGTGGCCCTGCTATCGAGCGAGGTCTGGTGCAGGCGACCGTCTGGATGAAACCAACTTAGCGGCGGCGGCGGCGGCGGCGGCCAGAGAACACGTGCTATCACATGAAAATGGCTCCTTTGCGTGTTAATATGGAAGTCATGCCCCGCAGTCGAGAATGGGGTAAATCGTAGGCGGCGACGTAACAAGTGACGGATCAAGCAATGCTTGGTATCGATAGCGTCTCGGGACCATTGTCGGAGGTTGTGTTGCTGTTCTCTCTAGTGCGTTGTGAGATGTTTTGTGTGAATCAGGAATATAGGCTGTGATAATTGCTTGGCGTCAGTAACGGCCGACTTTGCTCGTGATGTTCTCCTCCCTGGCACGCTAGTCTCCAAAAAGTAAAAACGTCCTTACCGAAGCACTTTAAGCATCGACACTTACAGCGGAGGCAGGAGATCGCAAGCGATGAGAATAGTACACGATGGAATCATTCGATGGCATTGAGTGCAGTGGGTGGCAGCATTGGATCACGTGCTGGGAGGATTCCAGGCAAGGATTGACGAGTAAGGTAGGTGAAAGGTAGCTAGTCTAGTCACGCCAGAGAAGTATTCATATTATTTATCTTTCATTCTACAGCTCGGCGAACACAAGTCTTAGTAATCGACATGTGACGGAGAGTTTCGGGGCCATCTCCGTCCCGGGTGAGTCCGGGCCGCCAATCCACGGGCGCCGGGGAAGCTTTGCGATCTGCAGCTTCACATACTGATTAATCCAAACAACACCACCCACACATCTTCCTCCCCGTCACAAGGAATCCGCCCCTCTCACACACCACTCCGCCCGCCATGTTCAAGGCTCTGATGCTCCGAGCGCCCGTACGGCCAGCGTCGGCGGCCTTGCGAACAGCGACGCCCTCCTCCGCCATTGTTCGCGCCGCACCATGCACATCATCCCTGCTACAGGACCGGTTGTCACAACGTAGAGGATATGCCACGGAGTCTGGTACGCAACCGCCGTGCTAAGAAGATGGGATGGAACGCTAGCCGTGCGGAATACTGATGCGTGAAGTAGAGGAGAAGGATCTGGTCATCATCGGAGGTGGCGTTGCGGGATATGTCGCCGCCATCAAGGCCGGCCAGGAGGGTCTCAAGGTGCGCAGACGGACAAGTCTTCCAGAGTGCATCATGACCACTGGCTGACAGTATATGATATCGCAGGTCGCATGCATAGAGAAGCGCGGCTCGCTGGGCGGTACATGCCTCAACGTCGGCTGCATTCCCTCCAAATCCCTCCTCAACAACTCCCACATGTACCATCAGATCCTCCACGACACCAAGAATCGCGGTATCGAAGTCGGCGATGTCAAGCTCAACTTGGCACAGATGATGAAGGCCAAGGAGACCTCCGTGAGCGGACTGACAAAGGGAATTGAGTACCTCTTCAAGAAGAACAATGTGGAGTACATCAAGGGCACCGGTGCTTTCGCCGACGAGCACACCGTTGCCGTCAACTTGGTCGAAGGTGGTGAGACAAGTGTGCGCGGAAAGAACATCCTAATTGCCACCGGCTCCGAGAGCACACCGTTCCCAGGCCTTACTATCGACGAGAAGCGCGTCATCACATCCACGGGCGCTATCGCATTGCAAGAGGTCCCTAAGAAGATGATCGTTATTGGTGGTGGTATCATTGGTCTCGAGATGGGCAGCGTGTGGAGTCGATTGGGCTCGGAGGTCACAGTTGTGGAATTCTTGGGCCAGATCGGCGGTCCTGGCATGGATGCTGAGATAAGCAAGAACATTCAAAAGACGTTGGGCAAGCAGGGCATGAAGTTCATGCTCAACACCAAGGTCAGCAACGGTGACGCTAGCGGCGATCTCATCAAGCTTGACGTCGAGGCTGCCAAGGGAGGCAAGGAGCAGACGGTAAGTCAGCACGCGGATCATGCAATTGTTGAGACTAACCTTTTTCTCCCCAGCTCGAAGCAGACGTCGTCCTCGTTGCCATCGGCCGTCGTCCCTACACTCAAGGTCTCGGCCTGGAGAACGTTGGCCTCGAGACCGACAACCGCGGCCGCCTCGTGATCGACTCCGAATACCGCACCAAGATCCCACACATTCGCGTCATCGGCGACTGCACTTTCGGACCAATGCTTGCCCACAAGGCTGAAGAAGAGGCAGTCGCGGCCATCGAATTCATCACCAAAAATTACGGTCATGTCAACTACAACGCCATTCCCTCCGTCATGTACACTCACCCCGAAGTCGCCTGGGTTGGACAGAATGAAGCCGAACTGAAGGAGCAAGGAGTCAAGTACAAGGTTGGAACTTTCCCGTTCAGCGCCAACAGCAGAGCGAAGACGAACCTCGACACGGACGGTCTGGTCAAGTTCCTCGCGGACGCGGAGACAGATCGGATATTGGGAATCCACATTGTCGGACCCAACGCTGGCGAGATGATTGCAGAGGGCACATTAGCACTGGAATATGGGGCAAGCGCGGAAGATGTGGGCCGGACAAGCCACGCACACCCGACATTGGCTGAGGCGTTCAAGGAGGCGGCAATGGCAACCTATTCGAAGGCGATACACTATTAAGCGAGAGACCAGTCGAAGAATTGATTTGATCGAGTCGCGATCTCCGTAAGAGGGTCTAACGGGAATGGTCGGTAACAAAGCGGCCGAAAATAGGAGAGCATCATTGCATACGAGTCCCGAGTTTGCATGCCTGTCTATAGCAGTTGAGGTGTATCATACCAACGGGCGCTTGGCGCCAGAAGGATACCACGGGGCGTCCATGCTAATCGTCACCTGCCCTTCGTTGCCTGTCGCCTCGAATACAGGATTATTCCCTCCCAGCAATGCACGGCGAGCGACTCGACCTGCTTGTAGATCTTCGGTATTGTGATTACACACAGTCCACCCATCGTCTCGCCAAAACACTCGGTTCTCCGGATATTCCAGCCTAATAGACACAAGCCCTACGCTGCGTTCCATCATGACAGGTGACAGGCCTGAGGGAGTGCTTCACCATCAGATCAATCCTGGCCCTGATCAAGGCTTGCATCGCCCCATGTACCGCGGGTACAGACATGTGTCGCGGACGGTGTGCTGGTTGCACAGCCAGGCCAGGAAACGCTCCAGACCCAATCCATAACCGCCATGAGGACTGGTGCCGTAGCGCCGCTGGTCGGTGTACCAGTAGTACGGGCTAGGATCCATTCCCTCTCGCTGGTATGCTGCCATGAGTTCGTCGTAGTTGTCCATACGCATCGAGCCTCCAACAATCTCACCGACACCGGGCATCAGGCAATCGACGGACTCTGTGACGCGCGGATCTTCCCTGTCCTTTTGCATGTAGAAGGCCTTGATCTCCACTGGGAAGTGGGTGAGGAAGATCGGTCGGTTGATGATGTCGGTCATGCGACGCTCAGCTGCCTCGGCGATGTCATCACCAAAGGAGTGAGGCTGGCCTTCCTCGTTTGGGATATCATGTTCACGAAGCCATTCAACGGCATCAGCGTACTTCATGCGCTTGAAGGGTCGCTCTGGCATTTTGAAATCCTTGTTGAGTTCCTGCAGCATGGCAGCTATGCGCGGGTTACCCAGGACAATCTCAAGAACGCCACAGATGATTTCTTCCAAATGATCAAGGAGGTCGTCAAAGGTTATGAAGTCCAACTCGGCCTCGACGTGTGTATATTCGGACAAGTGTCGGCGGGTAAGGGACTTCTCCGCACGGAATGACTTCTCGATACAGTAGACATTGCCAGCAAATGGGATGGCAGTCTCGAGGTAGAGTTGAGAGGATTGGGTCAGATACGCGGGCTCATTGTAGTAGTTGAAGCCGAAGAGCGTACTGCCTCCCTCGACCTGTGTCTGCACGAGAGCAGGTGGTGAGACCTTGACGTAGCCGAGCTCGTGGTATTTGACGTTGAATGCATGCTCGACGGCATCGCGGACAAACATGACGGCGGCGGAGGTCTCGCCTCGAAGGACAAGGTGACGGCGGTCAAGCAGGGTCTGGGCGTCACCCTTGGCCTGGACCACATTGGTAATGGCGTCGTCTCCTCCAGGTGCCTTGCCCACGATTTCGTAGTAATCGGCGTGCAGCTCGCGGTTGTCGGGAGCATGAGCACCGGGAGGCACCTCCCACATTTCACCCGTGATCATCATGCTCGTCTCGCGAGTCAGTGTGAGAGCGTCGTAAGTCTTGGCGAGGTCGCCGGTGAGGACGCATTGCATGTAGCCGTGACCGTCTCGCAGGGTGACGAAGAGAAGCTCTTTCTGTTGTCGAAACCGATGCACACGGCCCATGACGCGGACTCGTGTGCCCCTGTCGCTGCTGCTGTAGTCGACCTCCTTGGTCCTCTCCCCACTGCCCAGCTTGACCACTTCCGGCCGCTTCTCGCCCAGATGGATCTTGACGGCCTTGGGCAGGCTCTTGTCTTCGGTGAGCTGGATCCTCTTGGCCTCCTCGAAGACACGCTGCCGCTCTTTCTCCTCCTGCTTCTGCCGTATGGCCAGCTCCTTCTCCTTGCCCAGCTTCTTCTTCTGTGCATCTGCGTAGTTGATAACCTTCTTCATGGCCGCTTTGGCCGCGGGCTTGTACGTCGCTACCTCCTCGTCGCCCTCCTTTTTCTTGGTGAGGTAGGAGGCTTGACCCTCATGCTGCATATATGCATATTGCAAGGTCCTGAATGGCTTTTCGGAGGAGCCGTCGGCTTCGCTGCTGTCGAGTCCCGTCTCTTCGTCCACGTGGATGGGCTTCTTCTCCGCGTCCGCCATGATTGCTCACCTTGGTGTTAATCTCCGCGTCGATGTCCAACGGCGAGCGCTTTCGGAGTCAGTCTGGCGTGGTTCAGGTTGGGGGAATGTTTTTACTAGTCAATGGGTGGATGAAGCGAGTGACTCCTCTGAAGCTCTCCCAAAATCGTCCGTGCGGCGGGGTGAAGAAATTCGGTTTCAACTTATTAGGTATTGTACCTTGATGTCGGCCGGTCCGGGCTACAACCTGAGGCTGCCGGCCCCACCTTAGTCCTCTATTCCTCTACCTAGGCGTAGTACCATATCGTGACTATCCCTGTGATGAATGCAAATGCCTTGTTATTGATCCCCGTCTAGATACGATGAGAGATTCCGCCAGCCCACAGTCGCATATGCCTCTCTCACGACCCGTTCCGCTCCGTTTCGTCCCGTCCCGAGCCGCGTCGTCCCGACGACAGGGGCTAAGTTACATATGTCAAGGCGAATGTACATGATCTTATCGTCCTCGACCACGCCTAGGCCATGAAAGATGGCAGAGAAAGTCATTGCACTTACACGTCTTACCCATCTGGAACCCAGCGACCGTCTCCTCATGCATTCAACCGCATCGTTCCGGCATCGACTAGCCTGCCTCCGAAACGCGTCTGAGGAGTCTTGCGTCTCCCCGGAGAGTTCATCGAGAGGGCCTTCAAGAAATCCAAGGCGAAGGTAGTGCGAGATGAATCTCTCCATGGAATAAATCAGTCTGACCTCGCCAAGAATTTCCAATGGGAAATGGTTCCCGTTCCGCTACCTCAATTTCTCATATCGCGCCCATCCTGAGAACTCAGGCATGCCGACCAACTCGTTCGGATGATTAATATTGAACTTCTTTTCAAGGAACAACGTGGCCAACGACGCGTTCTGCACGTGCATCGCTCGAGGAGCGGCGCCATGTACACGCGTAGAAGCGCTGGAGCTCTACCAGACGTTGGAATTCCTTTGCCGCCATGGCAACATGACATTTGCCTCCCTCAGCAGCGACCGCGTTATCCGAGAAGTAGTCGATGATCAATTTGCGGCCGTCCTGGAAGCAGTTGTGGTTCCACTTGACGTGCAATTCTGGTCCTGAATCATGCTGGCGTCTCCCTGAGCACGTGTGCCCCTTGCTGGCTTTCCATTGCCTCTGTGTTGTGTGGCCGGTATTGACGCTGGACAAAGCTGGCTTGATGACTTCGGATTGGATATTGGCTTGTTTTGCTTGCTTGGCTCGAGGTTCGCGAAACCGCAATCTCAGACAGCTGAGCCCCGTCCTCATTCCAAGAGACGTGTGAACGGACTGTCAGCATGCTTGGAAGACGACAGACAAGAAGGTGAAAGTGTATGAAAGTGGTGCGTTCAGGTGGAGAAGGATGTTTGCAGTCTGTCGCTCGGGGTTGTGCTCGTGTGGAGGCAGATGATCAGCCGCACCTCGAAGCTGTGTGCAGTGTAGTAAAGCGGTAGAAAGACTGGACGGCAGATCCTTTCTACTTGGAACTTATCGCAGTTCTGGCAGAAGACAGTTGCATTCATCGGCTACCAACTGTACGATGCAGCACGAACGTCGCGTGAGGTCCTATGAGAGCCTTTCAAAACAGCCCTCTATCTCTGCTCAGTTCTGTTGAGTCTGTCTGTCTCGAGTGTCAATGATATGGAGGGTGGTCGATCGTTCAAGGGTCGTCGGTATAAGCCGGGGGGTCTTCGGAGTCAGCTGGCTCATCCTCACGTTCGTGCAGCTCTCGCTCAACACGTATGGCCCATAGCGCATTGCCGGCAGCCAGCGTGAGCAAGAACAGCATCGCAAACACCGGCACCAGTTCGAGAATCATATAGACTGTCCCGATCCACGTGTACTCCCAGCGTCGCTTCTTAGTCTTGATGAACTCGTTCCTCTGCTTCTTGGTGAACTGTTTGAGCTGGAAGTAACGCCAATTGATGAGAGGCCCGGCTCGATAGCCTGTCAGGAGCAGGTATAGCGGTACTCCGACGAAAGGAACAAAGTTCAGAGGCAAGAGAGCGACCGTCTCAACGATCTGCCGCACTGAGAAGGGCGCAAACTGGGCACCTTTTTCTCTCGGTGCAAGTCTTTGATATGGGTCGAGCTCTTCAGCATCGTCGGACACATCCCGTCGATGCTTCACCAGGCGCTCGTACCCCTCGGCTACCAGAACGGCGTCGAAGATGTCCACCTGGGTGTGATCCACAAGTAGTGCCTCAAACATCAGCTGAATGATCAGCGAGCCGACCTCCAGGATAAAGAAGGTGGCATTCACCCAAGCGGATCCTTTGTAGTGGAAAAGCGCGAGAAAGGCGACGACGGGCAGATAGGCGGTCAGGAAGAGAATGGCCAGGATACAAGTCGACAGCAGCGTAAGTGGTACGAGTCGACTTCGCAGTAGCGGGTGCAGGAAGCGATGGGTGGCGAAATACCACATGCCTTTGAAGGGGTATATAAAGGAAGGCGAGAAGTTGGCTCGTGCGAAGCGCCTTATTGCGCCGTTGCGGTCTTTGTCACCGCCTCTCCGCGCCGCTTCGTTGGACATGGTGGATGTTTTCGTCTTCCAGATGTGGCGTGAAATGCCTACTCAAAATGTGCGTGACGGAGTCCGTTCTCTCGGAAGTAAGGTATCCACGGATGGATGTAGGGGCTGAGCCGGAAGGGAGCGTCCCGTCCCGTCTGAGCTTCTCGGCCCGCGCCGAAGCTGGCATCCGGGACCGGCGCTTTGCCCAAGCTGGTTGACCCTCCAACAATCTTAAAATAACACTGAATATCCAACGTTCCTGCGTCTCCATGTCATCGATTCCCAATCTCAACACGCTCCGCTCCGGACGTCGTGGTCCTCGACTGCGCGAGCGTCGCGGTTCCCGTGGGCGAGGTCACCGCGTCATTCTCGGCGAAGAGGACATCGAAACGTCGAGAGATCAGGTCATCCAGCAGACAGACAACGATGCAAGCAGCAGCCGAATGAGCGCCGTCGAGTCAGGATACTTGGAAGACCCATTCGCGAAATCTTTCTTTCCAGCGGGACAAGAGGTGGCCAGAAGGTATCCCATCATCAATCGTGGAACGTATGTCAGGACTAAGGGAATCGACCGCCTGGTGAGCTGCTTTCTTAATACAGATCCAGATTCTGAAAAGCAAATTGTCTCCCTTGGTGCGGGGTCCGACTCTCGCTTCTTCCGCATGTGCGCCGGAAAGCACAATGTGGCGTATCATGAACTGGACTTCGAGTCGAACGTCACCCCCAAGCGAGCCACCATCAGAAGTTCGGAGCAGCTGTCTCGGATGGCCCTTGGGCAAGAAGGCGGATCGACATACCATCTGCATGCAGTCGATCTGAGAGATTTGACACAGAAGTCTCCTCCAGCTATCCCTGGTATCGCCCCAGATGTACCCACGCTTCTGGTTAGCGAATGCTGCCTTTGCTACCTGCCTCCGGAACAAGCAATCAGTGTACTCCAATACTTCACCATGAATCTTCAAGGTCCGCTTGCAATGCTTCTCTATGAGCCAATAAGACCATTCGACGCTTTTGGCAGGACCATGGTCTCGAACCTGGCATCGCGTGGCATTGAGCTGCGGACCGTAAAGCGGTACTTTTCGCTTGAGGGGCAACGAGAGCGTCTGAAGTTGGCAGGATTCAAAGACGGGCAAGGTGCAAGAGATGTGCACGAAATCTGGTCAAGCTCAGAGTGGATCAGCGGAGCCGAACGTGAGCGCGTCGAAAAGCTGGAGTGGCTCGATGAGGTCGAAGAGTGGAAGTTGCTCGCAAGTCACTACTGCATCGCCTGGGCGTGGAGAGGCGCTTGGTTCGAACAAGTCTGGAGAGATATTGCGGGTGGCAGGAGTTCATCAGAAGCGCAAGACGACGATTTCGAGAGGATCTAAGGCGTCCATCTCTCAAACGAACACCTGCATGTCCCAAGTCAGAAGTTCTGACAGCCTTAAGCTGGCTACTATTACAGCGTGAAAAGCAAGCTACATCTCGAAGAGCGTCTGCAGCTGTGGACATATTTGTATGCAGGAAGTATGTAGACAGATCCCAATGGAACATACGTTGCAGGATCATTAGGCGAGAGTCCGCTCGCTATAGCTTTGCACGCTAGGGAACTGATTGCAAGAGGGATTGTGCTAATATTTATAGTCGCCGCTATCCTACTTAAGTACGTGCGTAATGGCGTTGTGCTATTGTTGCTGTCGTTATGGTTGTTTTCTAGCTGCACCTAGATTTCCAAAAATCGGGGGTCTCGAGATGACGGTAGTGTGACGGCCGCTAATGTCGATCGACGTAAACGCGTTGGCACACGCTAGGAGTGTAGCTGGGAGGTGAGGTGCCAGTGCTGATGTAACTAGACGATGGATTAGTGGGCAACGACAAGTTCCTTGCGTAGACAAAAACCTGCAGCGACTAAGGGTTAGTAGGCACGACCGTAGCAGACTCTATATTAGTAGTAAAGCGAGCGCGGGCCCGGTGGTAGTCGAGAACTGGACGTATAGAGTCACGCGTCCGTTAGCATTAGTAGACTGCCTGTTAATAGACTCGATAGTAGTAGCACGACGGGTGACTCTAGCCGTAGCTATACTACCCGAGCATGTAGTAGCGTTGTTACTATTGTTCTAAAGATTACAAGTGTCGGAGATCTATCCTATAGGCATACTAAGCGACGAATAGGCGATCTTCCATAAGAACGATTGTCTATAAGAACGAGTAAAGAGGTACTTAAGAACGAGTAACGAGGTATAAGAAGGATTGTCTATAAGAACTAGTAGGGAGGTATAGGAACCATTAAGAAGGAAGGTAAATAGACAGTACGAGAGTATTAAAGCCGTATAAAGAATAGGACTGGTCCGTCCGGAACGACGACGCTCTTAATATATGTCTCGTTGTGCTGCACGAGCGCCGCTACTATTAGGGCGACCCTACCGCTAGATACCTAATTAGGTATCTAGCACCTACCTTAACTACCCTAGCGGAAATCTACGATTGGCTTAGGAGGTAGATAAATTAAAAACAGGCCCGAAACGGATCGTAGAGTAACGTAATGTTATTAAATAAGTATATAATAGAGTTTGCGAGTGTATCTAGAGGATATATAGATACCTTTCTCTCCTATAAGGAGAGGATAAGAAACTGACTCTTTATATTACTAGTCTAACTACTTACTCTTACCCTTTCTACCGATCTACCTACCTACTACCTTAGGTACTAGCTACGATACTAGGTATACTACTATGTACTTTACTAGCTATTATTCCAAGGATATACGATAGTATAGAGCGTTAGGAGGCCGAATATAAGTATCGTAGCTAATTATAGAACGTCTATTTAGGTCGTAGAAGTAGTATAAGAAGTATTCTAAGGTAGAGTCTAGTATATTAGCTAATAGCGTAGCTAGTAGCTAAGAGAGTAGGCAGATAGGTAGGCAGGTAAGTAAGAAGTAAGAAGGTAGATTAGGTAGAGAAAGAGTTGCTTATTTACCTCTCTACTTAGGGGAATTTACCTCTCTCCTTAGGGGAGAAAGAAGTCTCTATGTACCCTCTAGATATGTTCGTAGACTCTATTATACGCTCAAAAGTCAACCCTACGCTAGTCTTCCCTTAACATATTTCGGGCGTGTTTTCATTACCTCTACTTTCGGACCTATCTGTAGATTATTAGTTAGGTTACTTTCGCCCCTAAGCATTAGCTAGAGAGTACTCTCAGCCCTCCTTAGGACTCTGCTATAGTTTTACTACTACTATATATATACTAGATACCCGCTTAGGCTATATCTGGTAGTAGAGTCACCCCCCTAAGTAGCTATATTATACCTTTAGAATATCCCTTATACTCTTATAGTATTTAGCTAGTATAATATGCTCTATTCTATACTACTTCTACGACCTACACTAAAGTCCTACGGCTGGCTACATCACTCCGCTTTTATAGATCTACGCTCTATACTACCGTGTACCGTCCTACTACTAAGAAACTCTATAACTTAACTAAAGCTCTACTAAATACCTCTTTAATAGGATTTGAAGTACGTCTTACTAGGGTCTGTTAGTACTAGGGATCGCGTATAGAACATAATAAAGAAAAGTCACACTATAGGGATTTTCTTAATATCTAGAGGGACCTTCTAGACTTGGACGGATTTGTTAGAATATAAAAAATATTTCAAAAGGCTGACATAACTACTTAAAGGATGCCCCTACCGCTAGATATAGTCTAATTAGGTATACCTAGTACTTATCTAGTAGTAAGAAGTACTACTAAAGTACTAAGTAGGGCTAGAGCGTTTGTAAAGACCTAGCTACTACTTAGGGGCGACCCTACTACTAGATACCTAATAAGGTATCTAGTACCTCCCTAGAATAACCTAGCTAGAAATTTATAATTAGGTAAAGAGGTAGGGGTTATTAAAAAAATTCCCAAAATATCTTATAGACTAGCGCAGTTTTACTATATAGGCGTATAATAGAATTTACGAATATTTTTAAGGGGATATATAGATAACTTTCTCTCCCTTAAGAAGAGAGATAGACAAGGAACTCTTTCTACTACTAATCTATCTATTTAACCTTTACTTACCTACCTACTACTAATCTATCTATTTAACCTTTACTTACCTACCTATATACCTACCTGCCTACCTACCTTCCTACCTACCTAGCTACCTATCTATAGCTATAGTATTTAGCTAGTCTACTATACTCTACCTTAGAATAATTCTTATACTACTTCTACGACCGATATAGACGCTCTATAGCTCTATACTCTATACTACCTTGTACCTTTTAATTGTTTTTCAGCCCGGCCTAGCGTAGCTATAGAGCTCTACCTATACTATAAATCCTACTTAGCCTTTTAAAATACCCCTAGAGATTACGAAGCCTATAGAATAGAGTTTCTATTCCTTAGGGAAGGGAAGTACTACTTTAGTAAAAGCGAAAGGACCGATATATATAGCGGACCTTTTATATATATACTTATATAGAGACAGTATATAGAGATAGTATAGTTAGCTTCTTCTATCTACTTACTATAGCCTTATAGCGTAGAGGAGTTAGCTACGCTATCGCACGATATTTATAAGTTTACCGGCCTAGAGTATACTTCTCTAGTTATATAAGATAGTATTAGATTATTCTATATACGAAGGGCTTAGCTAGTATTTCACTCTACTATAGCCTAGCTTCCTTTACTTACGTCGAGAACTATCTCTTATAATAAGTCTAATCTCCTTTAAATAAGAGAATTTATTAGAGGTGTAAGGAAGAGAAGAAGAAGAGCTATACAAATTTCCTCCTTTCTTTAGTTATAAGCACGATGATATGAAATAAATAGTTAGTATTAGAGAGAATCCTACTATTAAGATATTCTATAACTCTATAGGACCTTTATTAGATTTCTTTATTCTAAATTACCTATTACGTCTTATTAGGATATATAAGCCCTAAAGACTATATACGAAGCGAAGTAATATTTGTCCTACTATAGAAACTCCCTATATATTAAACTTAAAGTATACACTTTTATACTTAGAGAATCTCTATTTATTAAACGAAAGAGTATCTCTAACTACAAAGTCTAGGTACTCTAAATATACTCTTTACCTATAGGGGAAAGGGCAACTCAGGCGCTAGAGTATATTTCTATATACTTTAAGTAGCCTGCTACGCGCTAAGGTCGTAAGTAACTATAAGAACGTAGTAATAGGGGGCTCGGACGCTTAGGGGTACTTATTCGTACCTTAGAAGCCCTTTAGTAGCGTAACTAAGCGCGTGTCTACGGGTAGGCGGCTAGACGCGCGCTACTAAGTAGAGTAAAGGATAACAAGATATAGTAGAAGAAGGGTGCTAGTATCTACCTCTCGTGTATAGACTAACGAATATATATACTCCGAGTAGCCTATAACGTACTAAGGTCGTAAGTGAATAAAAAGACGTAGTTATAGGGAGCTCGAACGCTTAGAGGTGCTTTAGAGGCCTATAGGCGGACTACTTCCTATACTACGCTACCGCCGACTGAAACCTATACTACCGAGGAGGGCGAAAAACTCTAATACGCCTAAACTAACCGTCGCCTTTCTATCGCTATTTACGCTATAAAACACTTTACTCTACTTATATATAGTCCTTTATTCCGTCGTTATTACCGCAAGGGTAGTTTGATAATAGAGTTATCTAATATATCTAGAGGGTTCGATTGCTAGTATCTATACTTCCTTATACTTCTACCGAAAGCCTTAATAGCTCTGTCTCCGAGTACTAGACATATTGTTACTAAGTTTTCGACCGATAGCGACCCGATACTTATAGCTCAAATTCTAAATAGCTATCATTTCGTACTTCTTATACTCTACCTTAACGTAAAGAGTATCTAGTATAGCCGCTATTGTTGAAACCTTTCGCTAATAGCTACTCCCTAATGTATTACGATATATACTGCCTCGGAAAACTAGCTATTCTACTATGAATTTCTAACGTAAATAGTAGAGCTTATAGTAGGTATAGGTTATACTATAGTAAACGATATATATACCTAACTAAGTAGATAGCGGTGTCTATACCTACGATACGGATTGTATTGCCTTAGTAGTTTATATCGGTTTCTAACCTCTTTAAGTAGACTGTCCTTCGGTATACTAATAATTCGATAACAATATTAGCCCTAGTAATATACTCTTATAGCTATTTTGTATTATTAATATCCGTATCTACTTAAAAGGTTAGTTCTCTAGTCGAAAAGTCTAGTAAAGGTAAGAGTAATAAGTACGTTAAAGTAGAACTCGCTCGTACTCTATAGTAGTTTATAGATTATCTACGATAGTGAATCCTCTATGATAGGCTACCAAATGCGATATATAAAAGGTCAATCGATATAGTACTAGTTGTTAGTCGTT